CATTGTATATTTTTCTTATAAATATCATATATTTTATTGATTTCTCAAGTTGTGATTTTACTATCGTATGAAAAAATTGTTATTTGATTTAAGAATGATAAAAATCATTCAATGTCAAGTAGGTAGGTACTATATATGGGTACCAAATACTTAATATTGATAGGCCCATGGACAGGAATCATTCAATAAGTGAGTTCAAAATAATATGTGTTGTGTTAGGTTATGAAGTCAATAAAAAAATACACATTCGAATAACCAAAATCAAAAATATCAGGATCAAAAATCAATAAATGTTCGAGCAAGTTGAACAGCTGACTAGTCAGTGAATATACGTCCAACAATGACTGCATTTATAATGATAATAAATAGCAGGTAGAAAAGGTGCGAAAATTCAAAAGAAAAATGCGTCAAATCGAGAAAATTGGCACAAAAACAAAAATGGACAACTATGTATGAATTTTCAAGTTAGTTTAACTTCTATAAAATGAAGAATATATTTTTAGTAAAAAGATCCTTAAGGGGGGTTAGAACCCATAACTCCCCACCGCCTTGTACACGAGCCTGAATGTTAGACGCGGTTTTCTCAAACCGTAATTTGACTATAATTAATAAACATTTTGGTGAGCGATAATATTTATTAAAAATTGGAATTATTTATCCAGCGAATAATAGAGAACCACTATCTGAATATTTAACTCTTAACTTAGTTACTAATATAAAAAATGTATCACTGACTTCGATTGACAAGAAAAGTCATTCGATTTATATGAAATATTTCAACAGATAGAAGAACAAATTTAACTCCTGGCAATATGATACAATACATTATTGTAATCTCTTTTCACAAAGTTACATCTTAATTAAAAGATCTCTTTAATATATTTTTCATTATAAATTTCGACTAACCTTTTTTTTTTTATAATTTATCAAAGAAATGGTGTAAAACACTGTCTACAACAGTTATTTATTATTTTTATAATTTTGTTATATTTATACATGTACTAACTCTTTTAAATAATTAAATGGTATATAATACAAATAATTTTATATTGTCATAAGGTTTAATATTATCTTGAATTTTAAATACCAATGTATCTATTTTTAATTTTAAAATAAATGTTTGAAAAATTACTTAAATAGGTTTTTATAATATTTCTTTTTTACTTTATTTTATTTAGCATATATTAATTGTTTTATATGTAGATCTGAGTTTAAATATTTTATCAAAGAAATGATGCATGTAAATGCATAGTCAGAGGTCTATGATTGATTTTCAAGTTGTAGTATATCTTAAATTTATAACATAAGGTGTAATATTAATAGTAAATGTAAATACTATCAAATTTAATGAAGGCATATTTGAATATACAATTTATATATTTTTTATGGCAAGGTATGCCAAATCTATAAACTATTCAAAATAAAATAAAACCATATTTGTGGCATATTTTACATACTCAAAAATATTAAAAGAATATTTTAAGGTGTTTTAGATATATTTGCATTATATTTTAAACTTGTATTAGCCTAAAAATACACGCTCTAGACATAAGTAATAAACCGATTGATTGATGTAATGACATCAACCATGTCAAATAATCATATCTGTAACATACAATTATAACATAAGGACGTTTATTTTATGCTTTTAGATGTGTGTGTGTGTGTATTTTTTTTCGAAAAATGTAGTAGTTATTTAAAAATTTTTGAAAAACTTTGGGCCTCCCCGCATTTAAAAAATTTTAGATCCACCACTTTGAGGGTCAATCGAATAGGTGTGTACAAGAGTCGGGTTGCGCGTGAAATAAAATAATTGTATTGTTATGTGAGATAACTCGTAGACGACACGTATTTCTTATAAAGTACGTTTTCACATTTACTGACGAACACTCCGCCAAATGTTATATATAGGCAACTATAATTATATTCGTGTACACGCGAAGTCTCACACTTTATTTTGGGCTCATAAAAATACAATATCCCGCTTATGTTATCGCGTCAGAAACGCAAACAGAAACATTGAAATAATTTTACGAGTTGTGTTAATGAGACGAGAATCGTTTAAACTGCCCTGTTAAAATGTTAAAATAGAGAAATTAATCACAACACTGAAATATTATAACTCGATAACTTTTATCATTTATCGACTCTTGAGACCGGTGATATTAACGCATTCGGCTTTGAGTTGTGACAAAGGAAAAAAATTCGACGTATCAAAAAACGATACATCGTACATTTTACCGATTATCTATACATTTTTGTTAGTTTTTCACTTATAATTGGAAAAGTTTTGAGAAATTCAAAAAAATTATGTAGTCAATGCACCAACAAAATAAAATTTGAAATCAGAAAATAAATACAAATGGTTGTTCAGAGCAATCCGTTTGGTCAAAATCGGTTGAAAATCTAGAAAAAAACACAATATAGTAGAACCAATACATACCTCCCTTTAAGTTTCTCAGTAAAAAAATACATATAATGAGCTCGAAATCCAAAAAGCATTTTTATCATAGACGCAAATAACACATGTTTAGCCCCCCTAGACTTTTTATAGCCTCTCCCCATTAAAAAAATTCATATTCACTCATAGACATATAAATATAATACTTTTATAAGTCTACTAGCGACCCGATTCGGCTCCACAAGGGTGTTATCTGTATCTGCAATAAAATAAATTTGCAGAAATTTGTGATCATAGGGTCAAAGTGGTAGCAAACTCCCAGCTAAGTGATACACTTGTCTTTGAATTTTAAATGTAGGCGTAAAACCACGCTGAACAAATTGCTTACTCTTGAAAGATGTCATTTGAAATGCATTATTATTAAGGTATATATTGTATATGAATTTTTTGGATTTCGGATGGTCACCCGTAAGGAGAGAGTGAAGTGGTTCAGGCGGAGGAAGAATTTCTTCTAATTTTACTTTTCCTTGTAAGCAACACACGTCTTTCGATTCATCCTTGAATTTCAATTCCAAGCAATGTTCACACACTACTGACATGGTACCTATTGATACAATATAATCGTCCTCGTTAGAAATCGAAGGATCGTAATTTATATCAGAATTTTCTTTCTTTACCCATAAATTAGTTACTCTCTCGGATCTGAGGCAGTTCGGTTGTCCGTTTTGTTCTGTGTTTAGTCTGTGCGCACGATTCTTTGGCTCTCTGTATTCGATGTCTATCCCGATCCCGGCTAAGGCGAGCCTCAAGCTCTACAGACGATTCTCTGGCTCTCTGAATTCTATAGGTGGGAACAGACTATTGTGATGTCACGTGAGTCCACGTGCCGTCACATGTTATCAAGTCATGGGAAAAAAGTGTGGGATATAGATTTATACAGTATATCAGCGCCACACTAATATTACCTCATGCATGTCGAGTCACATTTCCTAGCTCACGCGTGATAGCACATTTTGATTTTCTAACATCACACACATTTCGACTCACATGTCATCACGAATTTGGTCTATTTAGAAAAATATATATTTATAATAATGTCCTATATATAATCAAATTCGTCTTTCGTCATTCGGAAATACATGTGAAATCGTCTTGGATCGTTTCGTAGTTCTTGAACTAGACGATAGAATTCTAATGTTGACCTTTTTTTATTAATATCGTATACTCAGCACGATCGGGTGGATTTTTTATTTTGTTCGTCCAAAACTGCAAAAACAGCTGCAGTATCTAATTCCTCTTCTCACTCTGAACTACTTGAAGGTACTATTTCCATTTTAATTTTACTTAAGAAAAAAAATTTCTGTAACAGACCTTAAGTACATACCTTACACCACAACACAGTGACTAGGTACTACATTGTGACATGATAAAGTATGACATGATAATGTGACTATTGTTTATATCTAAGCGTGATATCTAGGATTCAATGTGCCAACATGGCAACACGTGAGTTCACGTGACGTGACAATAGTCTGTTCCCATCTTATGTCTATCTCGATCCTGGCTGAGGTGAACCTCACGTTCCGTTGACCGTTGACTACTCTTTATCTGTTGTTGAACGTGTTCTTTTGACATTCACTGTACTACAACCAATGTTCGTAAATTTTTATAAATTGTTGTAAATGTTTAAGCTTCAGCCTCCCCAAATAATTGTAATTGCCGTGTTTAGGTATATTTTAATTATTATTATTGTTACTATTATGCTTGTTTAAATTACCATAATCTTTATAACTAGGTATTATTTTCTATTACTGTCATATTTCTATAAGGCCCATCACTAGCCGGCCCGGGAAGCCAAAATAGTGAGAGGTGCCCTGTATATGGGGACCGAGTTGATCAACCGATATCAACTTAAAACCTCATCGGTGCCACGGGAGAGGGGAGCCCCACTGTACGCCCGTCCGGCTCGCCGTACGGGAAACAGTGCCCCTCAAGGTTGAGGAGCCTAACTCGGCTGCAACGTGGTGGCAGTGGGACCGGCGCGACGATAGTGGAAAGCCAAACCACTGTACCTAGTGGGAGGTCGGACCCAAAGAGATCTCGGTCTCTCCGGCCTCGAAAAGGTACGGCTTCGGCCGGTGCTGGTGGTCCATAGACGACCCGGGACCGATCGTCCGGCTTGCCGGCGTCGCTCCCGCACGGCCTCGGCCCGCGAATAGCGCCTAGCGCTAACATGCGGACCGGGTGTACGTAGGCGCAAGCCAAAACCCGGGAATCACGTGTCATATTTCTATGTAATTTCCCTAATAGTTCGTCTTCCAAAAAAATTAAATGTACACTCTAAACCAATTCCTTGTAGTATATCGTATATTTTTACTATGCATTATTTTCAATGAGTCAATTTGTCTTCTTAGTTATTATTTTTTATCATCGTTTTTCGTAAAATTCTCATTGCAAAATAAATGAAATATAATATATATAATTATACGAATAATAATATATATTATATTATTTAATATATATATACATTGAAATATAATTTCATGATTATTCAGCTTAGTGTTGATATCATAATACTAATTATTTATTATTATCACTAATAAGTGATAACATGATTCGCACAGTTAAATAAAAGATATTCAATGTGCCATTAACGGACGAGTTAAAATTATGTAGTGTACAATATGTGTTTTTTAATATTTCAAATGTTTATCTAATACATTAATCATGTAAGTACGTTTTGTATACTTTTAGATTTACTGTATTTTTGTTATTGGTGCGATTTATTTGTTCATGTACTAAATGTTTGGAAACATCCATTTAATAGATTTAATTTTATAATTGCTATAATTCAGAAATCCTACTCACCATAATTCTAGTTTCTAAATAATCTACAAATAATCATAACTATAAATTTAATCAAAAATCATGTATATAATCTATAGTTTGTATTAAAAAATTTACGTTAAAAAAAAATAATAAATTTAATTCTATTGGCATTGTTTTTCAGGTCATCATTTTCAAACAATTTGATTCAAAATCCTCAAACATCTCATGCTATCCAACAAGTTCAACAAAACTCAGCTTCAACAAATTTCAACTCTACTCTTATCAATGAGTAATATTTTATATTAAACATCAATAATTATAAATCTGTAATTTTATTGGTATCTATTTTGGTGTATGTTTTTAGTTCTATGAAACCATTAGATGATCCTAAATATTTGTGGCAAAATTCTTTTTATTTTCAACAAATCCAAGAACAATCAAAAATGCCAGTCAAACAGAAATCAAAAGTATGTATCAATAGTGTTATTGTTTTATTAAAAATTGATCTAAAATAAATTAAACTAGTTTTAAATATTTCTTTTTTAATGTACTTGAAAATGATTGTTTTATATAAAATCTATAAATGCTACAAATTTGTATTGTTATTTATAGATTTTATGTTAAAACTTCATGGGATGCTCTACCATTTTCAACTTGATTAGTTAAATTTGACCAACTCATTAATTTAAGTGAAAGTTAAAATGACTATAAATATAGTGGCAAATATTTTGCATGTGGTGTATTTTAACTTATTCATATGACCATTTTAATTTTTTACTTCTGTTACTGTATTTAATTTGAATTTATTACTTTTAATCAGTTTATAAATTGTTGTAATAATTATTTCAGAAAAATGAAATATTTCAATTCACCAATCAGTTTTTGTATGGAACTTATATGCCACCATATTATTCGGTATTGAATTTTCCATTGATGGAGAAATTAGTATTACATCAAAAAAATCCTAAAGCTCCACTTGCTAAATTACTTATGGTCAGTAAATTATAATAAAATATTTTGTGATATACTTTAATATTTGTTATTACAAACATTTTAAATGGAAGCTAGATGGATATTTTAATTTTAATCAATTAACATTTACTTTTTTTGGAAATGTTAGATGCACAAAGAACTTATTGATCAAGAACGGGAACTTTTTGACCAATGGCTTTCTTCTATTTGGGAAGAAAATTTAAAAAACCGACGTCTCACTGTCATACCCCATGTTGAAGAATATATTAAATCTGCTTATAACGTAAACATTCTTGTATATGTTTGATTTGAAATATTTATTACCTACCTATGCAAACTATTCAAATTGTGTCTTATTTAATGTTTTAGTTTTCGAATTGTTATATAAAATCACATTATAATGGTAAATATACATCTAAAATGAAAATTGACTATAATCGAGAAGAATGTGAAATGGAGTATAAAGTAGAAATGGTACATTGCTTAAGAGTAAAAAAATCGGTAAAAATTTATTATTGTTTATCAATAAATCTCAGTAAATAAATAAATTTAAATTTATTTTAGAATATGGTTTGCTCCATTCAACTCCCTAAAATTGATATCACAGATGTTGAATCAAAAATATCTTTTAAAGACCATGTGTACATTCCACCTCAAAAATCACAATGTAAGTAATTAAAATTGAATCTGAAATTGAAATTACTTGTTCTATATTTTAACAGAGATTAGAATTTTTCAATACTTTTCCAAAATGTATATATGCTTGAAGTTGTAAATAATAATAAATTATCTTACTAGAATTACTAACTTCACTCAGAATTTAAAGTATTTTCTCATCGATATAATTTTTTTTTCGCTCTCCATATTTTTAAGTTCTTTATATAGTATGTACCATAAATCCTGTATCACCCTTAATATCTCCAAGGGATATCAATATATTTAAACACGATTTTTTTTACAATACTCAGTATGGAAATTTTGATTAAATGGCATCCCTTACTCTATTTTTGCTTCTTTAATAACCATAAACAATATTCCCTAAAGATTGTTTCTTCATAAAATTAACATGTTGTTAAGTATCAACAGTACTGTTTGCTTAACTAAATAAAAAATTTCACGTTTATTCAATTTTCATACCGAATTCCAATTTTTTTATTACAATTTAACTTGTTTTTGTTTTCAGTTATAAAAGATGAACTATGTCACGAACTAATGAAAGAACATAGTTGTGAAATTAGTATGTGTTTAAGTAGTCTTAAGCATATAATGAGTTTAGAAAAACCTAATAGTGTATGGCTTATTCCTGTTAATATAAATACCGGTAATTATTTGTACCGCTGTTATGAAAACTAAAAGTAATTAATTACATCATATATTTTGTATAGATATCGATAATCTTAAAACAGTTCATATTGGTGGAGCATTGTCTACAGGGCATTTCTCCCAACAAGATAAAAGTTTATATTATCTTAGAAAAGAATTGAAAAGAAAATTCAGAGAACTGTAAGATGTATTTTAACAATTTATTATTTTATTAAGCTATAAAATATTATAAAATATTATTCAATGCTGTTTAGATACTGGACAATAAAAGTCATAGGATTATGCGTATCATATTTTACATTTAAAATTGTTCAGTTTTTGTATGCTATATGTATTTATAATAATAATTTCATGCTCTTTGATTGAACAATTCAAATATTTAACAAATATTTTATATTTTTCAGCGTTCTTGAAGATGAAAATGGTGAAGAACAGAATGGTTCTATATATAACTATGATAAATGGAATTTGAATGTAAATGAAATAAATGGTATTTTAAAAAAATCGTTTAACATACTTATAAGAAATAAACCTCATATTCGAGTAAATAATATTGTATTGTAATGGGAACATATGTATTGTAAACTAATAATTAGTAAATATTTTTATCTATTAGAGTTTTAAGAAATCGAATCATGAACAACCTGAAAGTGTGCTTATGCCAAAAGTTGAATATCAACCTGAATTTGGGTTTGAAAAACTATGTGAAGAACAACTCATTGAATATTGGCTAGACACATACTTTAGAAATCCCAAAACCAAAATAACATTATGTAAGAAATGTATTAAAATTGTATTAAATTTCAATGCGATTGAAAATTATCATTTATTGAAAGTATTATATTTTTGTTTGTGCTTGATTAACAGTTTTTAATTTATATTTCAGTTTCCGTGCAATACAACATGGATATTATGATGGTAAAAAAATGTTTAAATATTGAAAACTGCAGTGAAAATTTAGAGAGGGTTAAAAAAATGCGTTTGCAAAGATTGTACATAACACTTGATAAATTATCAAAATTAGATACAGGGGAATATGTTTTATTGCACAATCCAAAAAAACCATTTCAAGTTGAAGTTTACCAGTTATCTACGTTTGTAAACATTCTAGTTAATTATGTTTTCATTTACAACATGTATAAAACTGTTTTTATTTTAGATATGGCGGTTTCAATTTATTAAATATGTATTATGTCTTACAACAGACTGAAGTGTCAGATTCGTTAGTTTGGAACCCTGTCGATTCACAAATGATTTGCCCCATTCATGAACATTTTAAAGTAGCACCATGCATGTTCAGGCCAAATCCAGTAGTACTGAATGTCCAAACAATACGTGTGTTATAAATTTTAATTTTGTTAAATAATTGTTAATAGTGAAAAAGATATAAACATATATATTTGTTTTTTAGATGATCAAGTTACTAAGTTTAAAACTGTTTTGGAAACCCAGGAAAAAATTGAGAAAGAAAGAATTGCAAAAAGGATGAAAATTAAGAAAGAGAAAAACAGAGCAAAACAAAAATTAAAAAGAGAAAACGATAATTTGTTTCAAATGAAATGTAAAGCATTAAATAAATGATTAAATGTATTTAAGTGAAGAAACTATAATTGGCTTATAGAATCACCACTGTCATTGTAATCTGTTACCAAAAATTGAAAATAATTATTTTTTCTTATTGAATAACAATGTTCATTCAAAATACTTAATAATATTAATAATAATTAATAAACTGTTTTTAATATTCTTATGCGTTTTATTCAATAATTTAAATATCTATAGTTGAAGATCTGACAGAAACATTTCTCTAACTCCACAAGATATGTAAATTTTTTTACAAAAAAACAAATGATTTATTAATGTTGAACAAAATACAAGACATACATTGATATTTTATAATTAATGAAAACAAATAAAATTAATAATAAGTAATTATTAATCAATGCATCAATATACATAATCTATTTACAAAGAAAATATAAGGTAAGTAATAAAATACAAGTTGTAAAAAATGAAGCCCATACATCAGTTTAGATAATTAAGAACTGATTCTATTAATCCATAAAATCTAATTATCTAAAAGAAAATAGACACTATGATTTTTATAATTGATTTATTTCATTTTAATAACTGAAAACACAATAGGTACTTAGCATATAAATTTTTATTAATAATTATTTAAATTTTGTATAGATATTAATAACACCTTTTTTCACCTTTTATGTTAGTTTTTTAGCAGTCTGATACAATGTATCTACAACTTTGCCCATGTTAGTTATATTATCTAAAACTAATTCATAGGTTTCATCAATTTCAGCTTCTTCAAATACTATAAGAATTCCTTCGCCCTGGTCTAAGATTCCATGGAATTTTTTGTCTAATATCATTTGCGAAAGTTTTCTTTCAACATTCTCCATTGGTAAATTGATTGACTTAGCAACATATTCAACTTGTACTCTGAAAAGAAAGTGTAAATAATTATTTCAAGTCAATTATAATTCTAAGAATGTTTAAATTTATAACAAACATGTAATCTAGGATTAGATCTCTTAGTACGTTGTTGTTAATAACATTATTATACTTAAGTAAAGAATAATAAAGTAAAAATTACTAAATAGTAAATATTCTTATATAAATATAGAGTAATGAAACCATTCATTTAAAAAAAAAAAAAAATTATTTCAGTAATAAAATACATAAATTAAAAGTATTTATGATGATACAATTTTATGAAATAATAATAATAATTAGAAGACTTTTAAAATAATACGAAATAATAAAAACATAAGTTTAAAACAAAGAAGTGCAATTTACCTTGAATATGGTTCAATGATTCTACATAAATTTTGTTCCAACATATTTCCATAAAGGGTATCTAAATGAGCTCTGACAATTGGATCCTCTTCCAATTCCTTTTTATATTCATTTAATCCAGATTGGAAATCAGCTAAAGATCTTTTATGACTAGCCTTAGCTATACTCTTCATTGCTTCTACATCCCGACCAGTATATTTTAAAGCTAATTTGCCACTTACTATCTGTTGAACATCTTCTGCATTGTTCAACATTATTTTAGACAGAAGCATGTACTTTAATGCCTTTAGTGCCTTAGAAGTGCTGTCCACACTATCAAAGCCTTCAAAAGCTTCATAGAAATAAGAATAGGCAGTTTTGAAATCTTGCTCATCAGCTGCATGTAAGATTCCTGATTGCAAGTCAAGAGAAGCTTGCATTTTAGGTGGACAATAAATTGAGTTTGCTGTTGTCCTAGCAGAAGTCAAAGAAGCTCTGGCCTTGGATAAATTATTTAAAGCATGATAAGCTTTGCTCTCTAATAACAAAACGTCGACCAGTAAATTCTTGTCATCCAATTTCTTCAGTTCTTTCAGAAGTACAGCACCATGTTGCAAAGCTTCTTTGAACATACCAGAGTCAAAATAGAGGGCCATCAAACGGGACTCCAAGGACTGCCTGAGAAACGTACGTCTTTCTTCTTTGGCCCATTCTATGCATTCCTTGCACAGTTGAAGTTCTATTCCGATGCCAGCTTCGAGGTCAAGAAACAGATCGACCAGTGACCGCACTAGTTTGGCCGCCTTAGCCTTGCTGATCTCCGTCAAAAAAGGTCGGGTTTCTTTAATTAGGGCAGCCAATTCTTTGGCCTTACCTTCTTTCTTTAAAAGTTCTCCCTGCGACAGAATCAAAGCTTCACGTTCAAGTATCCTGTCGTGTTCCGTCTCGAGTTTTTTCATCGCAAAGTCTGACGGCTTGTTGAGATGCGCGAACATCGTGGCCCCTGCCATTTTGATCGGTGTGTGCACAGTCTGCGATTTACTTATGAGGGTAACAGTTGATGCGTATACGTTGACTGAAGGAATATTGGAGCACAATGTTGTTATGAGACAAATACCTATAAAAACCAAGACGGAAGAAACTGACAAGGCGAAGAGCATGACAAGCGATTTACAAAACGATAAGTGTGACCAACGTGCTGAACCCACGGTGGTCGGTCAAAGGCGACCGACATTTTTTCAGCTAGAAACTCGCGTAAAAACAGTTTCTGATGATCGTGTCTCCGATGGAAATCGCTTTTGCATGCGGTTTGCGAAAATGTCGAGAAAAAAATGTTAATCGGAAAACACCAGACGGTCGGGCCGTGTGAGTTGGAAGCACTGCAAGATGACGCTCAACAGCATAGGCTAGCGGTGTAGTGGTAGAGTACCCCGACCAGCTCCCTGACTTTGTTTATTAGTTTTCAGCGTCTGCGTCTCTCGCGGCAACTGTTCCCCCCGTTAATGCTTATTTTTCACTCTCAGCGGCCGTACCTTTCCTGCCACTAAAATTATTTCGTCCCTTACGCCGTACATTTTCGGGCTTATTGATTTTTTGTCGTGTCAGCAGACGATTTACTCGTTTTGTTTTCGCTATTCTATCTTTTCGATTCACGTATAAACGGCAAGCTCGTAGTAGCAGACACGTGAATCACCCGTCAAAATGAGCGACATCGAGGTAAGTGTTAATTGCCGCCGCCGCCGCCGCCACCTTTGTTGTGTACATTGCCGCCATCGCGCCGAAAACGCGCGTTGGCGTCGTCATGTCCACTTGATCCGAAATCGGCTTTGATCTGAGCGCGTGAACTGTGATATATTTCGTATGTCCATTTAATTCGTATTAAGCTTTTCAGTATTTCTTGCGGTTATAAAAAAAACATTGAGGTTATGTTTGTCATTGTTTTCGGAATCGCTGCAATGGCGCCGTTCGTTTTAAAAATCTTTCACGATCGCATTGCTACAACACATTTATCTATGTTCTAGGATCGCAATGGCAATTCAAAATCTCGGTCGATCACACCGAGTGGTAGCCGTAGCAGATCGCCCAGTGATCCAAAGTCTCGTAGCCGATCACCTACTCATTCAAAAACCCGCTCCAGATCATTGTCTCGTCCTCCTAGTCGCAATGGTAGCAAGTACAAGAGCCGTTCAAGACATTCTTACTCCAGATCGCGTTCTAGGTCCCGTTCATATTCTGGTGATCGCAGACGTAGTTATCGTAGCCATTCTCGAGGTTCTGGTTCAAGGCGCAGCAGACATGTAAATATATTGTTAACTTACATCACATTATATCTTACTTTATTATTTTTATATTATAACTTAAATTGACTCATTTAATTTTAGGAAAATCCCAAACCGAACAAATGTTTAGGCATATTTGGTCTTAGTGTGTATACAACTGAACATCAACTCTACGATATATTTGCTAAATATGGATCAATTGATAAAATTCTCATCATAATTGATGCTAAGGTAAGCAAATAAAGCGGTGATTTAAATATTCAAGTACTTCAATTGATATGTATTAATTTAATTCAGAGTGGAAGATCTCGTGGTTTTGGTTTTGCTTATTTCAAAAAACATGAGGATGCAAAAGTAGCTAAAGAAGAGTGTTCAGGAATGGAAATTGATGGACGACGCATTCGAGTAGACTTTTCAATTACTCAACGTCCTCATACACCAACACCTGGCATTTATATGGGCAGACCAACGTAATTATAATTTAAATATTATGTCATATTTTAATACTTATAAGGAGTTTAATTTTTTTAGAATGAGAGAAGAAAGGTCATCTAGAAGAAGAGGTTATGATAGATACGATAACAGATATGATCGTGGTGATCGATATGACCGCGGTGAACGTTATGATAGATATGACAGAGACCGTGATTATGAGTAAGTATTTTTATTTGTTTAGTTTTAACCGTACTAGAATTTTATAATTTGTTCTAAGTACCTATTTTATTTTTATTTAAGTGATTACTATGACGGTGGATACAGAGGTGGTGGCGGTCGAGGAGGACACTACAGAGAACGTAGATCACCTTCATACTACAAAAATAGATCACGCTATGAGAGATCACGCTCGCGTTCTTATTCTCCACGTAAGTCACTAGGAAACTTAAAGCCAGATGTTCGACCTTAGTACCCTATCCGGCAATCCCGTGTTTTTTTTAAAAGCTTATTAACTTGTTGTCCCATTATTTTTCTTCGGTTTTTTTCTCGGGTTTTTTGTCTTATAAAGAATATAAAAATAAAAAATAATCAATTACTTAATACAGTTTTTCAGCTTTCAAAGTATTTAATCAAGATTTCTCACATATTCAATTTTTTATTCATTTCCTGAAGAACATATTCGAAGAAAACAGAATATTTCAAACTGTCAAGATATTTATATATAAATTGACTTGAAGACTTCTTGAACTTCTATAACCCTAGAACTTTTTTTAAAAATTTAAAAAAAAAAATTATATTTAAAGAAGATTCTTCAATTTACAAAAGTAGAACACACGAAGACCCGCTCTCAATATGACCTAAGGGTAGAAAATTGGTAGACACTGATGAAGATCTTGAAGTTTGTCAAGAAAATTAACAGTTTATCACCACTAATTACAGAGGTAAATTTATAGAATGGTGTAAATTTCCTCTTAAAATTACGTCCCGCTGGCTTACAATAACTTAAAGATATTAAATTGGGATAAATGCATGAAGACAATTTTTATAGACATTTCCTAGATCAATTTTCAGATATTCTGTAGTAGGTTTGATTATTTCTATTCAGTCCTAAAATTTCTACTTTTTAAATTAATGGCGTGGTCTATCAATTTTTTAATCAACACTTATACTTTTTGTCCAAGTTTTTTGTTAACAGTAGGGAATGGTCGGATTTAGGTATGTGATTATCTTTGGCATCAACTACGATTTATGATAATTTAATAAGATCGTTGTGTTACCCTTTGGTTTCCTGAAGACTATAATGGTTCCATTAATTTATAGAAGCTAAAATTAACAACAAAAGTATGTCCAAGACAGACAATTTGTATTATTTAAGTTGTCTTATGGCATACTTTGCACATTGTATTATATAATGAATTTAACAAATTAAACATCACTTAAAATATAACTGAATTTGAAAAAATATTAAAATCCTTTGGTATATATATATATATATAAAAAAACGTGTGTGTATCAATTATTTGTAAATTAAATAAAAAATTGAATGTGTATTAATAATAACAACTTAATGTATTGTATTTTATAATATAAATTATAAAATTACCGTATAAAAATAATAAATTAGCCGTATTAGAAAAATATATTGTTCAATAATTTGGGTACATAAATTGAATATATGAATATATATATATATGCATTTATAGTTGACATAATTAATAATAAATCTCTTAATTTTTTTTCTGTTATTATGAACACAGGTCGTAATAAAATATAAATGAGCTGGAATATCATCAACGCGGGGATGTTTTGTGAAGAAATGAATGTACCTAATTTTTATTGCCCAAATTTTTTCCTTTTTTTTTTTTTTTTTTTTTTATAAATAAATTGATATAAACTTAAATTTAAATCAACAACTTTGTAACAAAACAAATAGCACTGTTCATTTGACAACTTCATTTATAGTACTGTTGTTTTTCTTTACTAATTATTATTATGTATTTGTATTTTAATTTGTTCTGCTAAGGTGCGGAAAGAGTTTAAGACATTTTCTTTGAAGACTAGGGGTAACATTGTAATTTGAAGCTTTTGTCAAGTCTGAAGAAACAAAAATTGGATGTTTGGTCAAAAATATTGACGTTAATAAATTTAGTGTTGCAATTTTAGTTTTTCACTTTTTTTTTTAGGTACACCCCAATTACTCCTACCCAATTTGTTTTTGGTAAATGTAATACTTGTAAATATTTTTTTTAATTTAAACTGTCTGATGCTAAAATATATTTGTTTGCATTAACTATTAATGTAATAAGCAAACATATTTAAGAATAAATAATAAAACAAATTTCGTACTCTAAATAATGTTTTGTTTCTATCTTTAATTTTATTCACTAAATCCTTTTTCCTATATGTTATATTTCCGTTTTTATTATTTAGAAATTCACTGCATCATATAATGTTCACATTATTTATTTTTAATTATTAGTAAATGTAATATAATTATAATATTTTATCAATGTTAATTTACATAATATACTAAAATACACTTGCAATAACTAATCTGACTAAATACTAAATTATTAATAATTAATACTTAATTATTATATATATTTAATGTATGTCAAAAATGAAACATCTGTCATTTTGACTTTTGTTCTATAATTAAATGAAATTGATGTTTTTCTTCTAATTAATAGTACTATGAGTTAGCACTTATATGTTCCATCAATTACATTGTTATGTATGAAAAAAGTACTGACTTGTCAATTTAAATAGTATTTAGTATTTCAGAAATTATTAAATAACATTTTTCATTACAAATTATTATTAATTAATGTACTTATCTAATGTATGTATTGTGTTTTTAATCTTAATTTATAGTTTTTTACCTAAAATAATACCATTATTACTAGTTTCACTAGGTATATATAGTACCTTATTTGGATGGTATTCATTTGAAATGAAGTACATTTCACCAATATTATCTAATATATCTATATTATCTAAACCACTGTGTTTTATTAAAATCTTAAACAAAAGGAATGTAAACAATAATAATTAAACAAATACAATTTGACTAACAAAAATATGTATTATTTTATTGTCTTATAATAAAAAAAATGACTAATCTGCAGAAAACAATTCAACTATACATATTTTAGAAGACATTTTGTGTTATCTGTTAGGAAAAAATTAATATATTACATCTGACTGAAGGAACTTAACACCATTAATACACAGTATGTCTGTGAACTATAATAATAATAACAAAAAATAATATGATTAACAACTTATGCAATATAATAAATTTTAGTTACCAATTATCTGGATATAATTTTAAAAACTTATAACAATTTCAAAAACTTGAACAATTGTCTTATTTTGATTAAAATAAAATTTTACAACTTGGGCACATGTCATTTGTAATTATAATGTGTTCCAATGGATACACTTTAAATGAAAATTTAATACATAATACATAATGGAAAGAAAAGAAAAAAACTAAAATGTATAGCTTGCTTCATATGAAACATGAAAATTCTAAATATTGATATATTCTCACATGCATGACATATATCTACAAAAATTATGGTTAATTAACAATATTTAGTTTTTATTATGTATATAAAATATAGATTTGTAACCCAGTCATCAATAAAATTTTCCATTCAAAGTAATATAAATGCATTGGATACATTAAAGAGCTCTTTTATAATTTTTCTATAATGTGAATGAATATTTGATTGTTATAAATACTTAACGGAGCACATTTTAACACCCAACAATAATTAGCACTATATTAAATGAGTAAAAATGTTGGTCATTGTTACCAGTCAATAGAACACAAAGTGTACTCAATTACGTTACTAAAGGTGTATCTGTTCTATTCAAAATTAAATTTTGTAGAAATAGTTCTGCTTCCCTTGTAGTAACTTTTGTAAAATAATCATTTGAATTCTCTTTGATAACATAAGGGGTACTATCAAATTGATAATGAATACCCAATACAATGTTAAATGCTGAAACATCGTACCCATGACAACTAGAATATCTGTATTGCGGTTTTTTGTTGTATCTACAACCTTTAGTCTGAGCCCCTGAAAAATTTAATAAAATAATTTAATACTGTTTCTATCACACAATTGTTCTATGTACACATACCAATAGGAGATATACATTCACTAATTAAAGCACATTGAATCCATGGCAGCATAATATCTTGATGCAAGTCCAAGGTGTTATACACAATTAATTTATCAACCAAGACCAGAGGCAAAAAGAAAAAATTATCAGCAGGAGTACGAAAATAGTCAAACATTTTTGGATGGGTAAGAGTTGTTGTTGCTATTCTGGTTTCCCAACCAACTATTGATTTATTGCTGTAAATTGAGAACAGTTTCGAAATGTTTGGTGATATAATTCGAACGTTTGGATCGAGAAACATCACAGCACCGGCTCGATTCAACGCATCCTAAACAATTAAAAAAAATTTGACATGGAATTTTGATTTGTATTAAAAATTAAATTGCTTTACCTGCAATACAAGTGGTCGATATGCTTTGATATGTTCGTGACTTACATGAGAAGGAAATTTTGATAAATCAAAATCAATAATTGTACAATGGGTATCATTTTTGCAAAATGTTTGCACCTGTACATTGATTTTCTTATCAATAAATAACAAACAAAATAATAAAAACAGTTAATTAATGAACGAAATATTACCAGAAGTAATTTATATCCAGATATTCCTAAATTGTACACTAATATTCCATGGTCTGGTAAGTACTTTGCAACACACATGACTAGTCCGATGGCTTGGCTGTGTTCATCATCCAGAACATAAGTAACAACAACAGGTAAACTCGTATTCTTCCAGGACGTGTTTGGGTAAATCAAGGGTTTCTTAACAAATCCCAAAGAAAACAAATAATCTCTGTTAACCACAAGTTCTTTTTGTTCAGCGACCTTTAAATTATCCTGAAAATGTTATCATACGTAAGTACGAAAGGAGATGTAATCCCTGAAGAGTGCATCGCTATTTGCTTACTTTGAAATTTTTGAAGTTATTGATCTGCTTGTGCGTCTCGGTGACTAGAGTCTCGATGGCCGGTCTGCTAAGACTGTTTTGAAACATCACGAACAAAATACTAAACGAAAACACGGTGAGGAAACAGAAGAGCATGTACCGAGATCTCAATCTTAAATAGTGTAACTTGAACATAGGGGTTGATTCGTTGTACCGGCGGCAGGAGTGTAATATGTATACGGGATGATTTAAGCGAATTAAGTAATCAAAACGAGGGAAAAGGACATTAACGTGAGATCGACTACAATTCGGTTGACCGCCACCGCTGATCGTTGTTTTTGATCCACAACGAACACCAAGTTATGCGAAAATCATTGTGGCTAGGAGCGATGAGCCGATCGCTATCACCAGATCGTTAGCCAATACGATAATGCAATTTAGAATATCATTCAAAGTGCTATCACTGATCTGTTATCGCCTAGTATTCTTATCACACGGTAAACGGAAGCCTAAGACACCCGCCAAAAATGTAATACCTACCATTGTATATTTGTGTTGTCTTTCGAATAGCCCACAACCCAGGAGCATCCTTATGGGTAAAGATGTAATTGGGGCGATACTCCCCCCTCTCTCGTGAGGTACACTTATATACTAATTAGTCAATTTTATAATTTACATCAAATTACGTAATATTTTTATTTTTATATCAATGGCGTAGCCAGGATAAGATTAGCTGTTAACTCGGCTGATACCTACCGAAATGGTTCCCGTTTGAAAAAGGTATTTTGAGCCGAATTGATTCCCGTTTAATTTTAGATGGTTGCTCTGTGAAAGAGTTCTTCACGTTTTCTCTTTAATGAATTTATCAACTGTTGTTGCTTAAATGTACCATTACCTTTCCTTTCGTGGTTATGTGTTAAGACTTCTTCACCAATGGCGATGTCAGGCACCACGAGGCCCTGTGCGGCACGCGATTTGCGAGACCCCTACTACTGTATTGAGGGTATTCATTTTTTTTAATTAGGTGCAAAATATGCATTTTTAATGCTTTTTAGAGCAGATTTTCATCATTACCGCTGTTTTACGACTATATATTGCAACCTATAATGCATTACAGTTTTTTTTTTTTTTTTTATTCAAAGAGTGGTTTTTTTTGTGTATATAATTAATTAATTTAAATAAAATACCTGTTGGGTTGTTTGAACAATCTATAAATAAATCAAAAAGTTAAATAGATTAAGAATAAAATATAATATTAGCACAAGGTACAGTATGAATTTGTATTTACATTACAGTTATGGTTACCAAGGCCGTCCCAAAGATAAAAATCAAGGGGGAGTAAATAATATGAAAAATACCGACTACAATTTTTTTACTTAATGTACTTAGTATAATTAACTATATGTAGTCGTGTAATGATATAAAAATTAAAGTATTTATTTGTGAATTTTATGAGTGAAGTATTTATATGTTTTTTTAAATAATTACTTATTATATTATAAATAATATTACCTCTCCGATGATTGTATGACCTGCCTGTTGAAAACCGTGGTTAACTTTGAGGAATGAGATAAGGTAACCATTTTGTATTTTAAAATATTAATAACTTTTTCTTTTACTCACGTTTAATAATTTTATTTAAACTTCTTACTACACACATTAATACACGTATTTTAAATTTTTACAGAACGTTTTATAACTAATTATATCTTTCTGCATAGACGATCTGTGTAGTATTTTACACTCGCTTTTGACCGTCTATACAAAAGGACAACAAGAACTCGTCTGCCCTAACTAAAAAACTATATTCCTTATATATGATGTTGTGTGTGTGTGTGTGCGTGTGTGTGGTAATACCTTATCTTTAATACTTATGAATTATTATTATATTTAATGACAATCGAATATTATAATTATTTAACTATACATTTAATTTTAAAAATTATATGAATGCTTAGGCGCATATCATTACAGTCGTATTTTTACTTTTTAACATGTAGGTATATATGTGTCAGTGTCTTACGTTCTTAAAATTGAATTATTGTATAATAAGTAGTTACATTAAAATAAGTATATAAGTAAATTTTATTTGTGTATACACTGTATTACGAAATATGTAATATTTGTTTTCCGTAAGTAAAATTAGATCCTTTTAGACTATAATAAATGAAGTCCGATTTTCTTATCGATAGAAAATGTATGGTTTATGATTTATTTAGAAAATTATGACGTGAAAATTATGAAGTGTTCTCAAGAAAAACAAATTCATTATAAAAATATTTTAAATTCTGAACCGAAGGATCTTATGGTTTTACAATTATGTTAATTATTTTATTTTTTTTATATAAACAATTCACTACTCGATATCGGCGTAATGTTTAATTTTATCCATGGTTTTTTTATGTTATATAATTATACTATAGCAACCATTTATAAACATATTTTATTTTTTATTACCTATAAATAAAAAAAACATTATTATTAACCATTTATAATCAAAAATAATAATAAATACCTCAATACCTCTGTTTGAGAACATCCCCGCGTTATATCTCTTATTTACCTTTTTTCGCGACAAAATGTAGCTTAAATCTTCCCCTAGGTCTAATCTGCCTCTGTACCGAATTTCATCACAATCGGATGAACGGTTTAGGAATGCATAAAGGACATACAAACTTTTTTTTGTCTTTTATATATAATATAGATAACGTTTAACGAAAAATTAAAAATTAATATAACGTTTAAAAATGTAATAACCTTAAACAGAAAAAAATCAAATAACATTTTAACGTACTATAACGTTAAACATTAAAACTGTATAACGTTTCAAAGTACAATAATGTTAAACGTTAAAATTGTATAACGTTTTAATACCCAAAAATGGAAAAATTATATTTTTTTTTAGAATTAAAGACCTGCATATAATTAATTTAGTAATCATTTCGGAAAAGAAATAAAAAGAAAACGCTCTCTGCTTATATATTTAAAGCGGTTTAACTTCTAGTTTTGGAAACCTTATTGGCCACTGTCGATTACTTTATTCTTATACAAGATCATTGAAATCGCCTGAAATCATTTTCAATCGAATAAGAAATAGCTCAAAAGATAACTTTGAAAATTTAATCGATAATTTTTCTGAAGCAAAAGCAAGAAAGAAAAATTTTTCATATAACTGACAGAATATTTCTTAAAATATAAATTGAATACTTTGAATTTTGTTATTGCCTCGTTTATGTTATTTAAACCAAAAAAATGAGATACATATAATGTGTAATAAGAAATAACCATATTCATAATTGTATATTAAACATGTTTTTAATTATTTTTCACCTATTGGCAGAAGTGGAGTTTTATAAGAACAAGGACCGCTGAATTATTTTGTCACGAACAATCGAGCAATAATTATTTAAAAGGTCTTTTTATATAGAAATGGCCCGTTTAAATGGTAGAACTTCATGTGTTTACATACATTTATAGTGTAGCAAACAGATAAACGAATATCGTATGTAAGTCACCTGCAACATATGTACCGATAAATACAATATTGTATATGAAAAATAATACAGAACCACAGTGTTAAAGATGACGGACAGAATATTTTTATAAACCACATAAAAACTTCTACATATGTAAAAGATATTAAGATATATTATATATTATATTAAGATATCTTAATGCGCAGTGTCAAAATTCTAAATTTAATTTGCGCGTTGTCTATTTTGCACCACGTGAAATTTGAGATACGTACAAGGGACTCTACGTGGTTTGATTACAAGTATCCGGTCAATTAATCACTAACAATACATATATCGGGTGAGCTCAATTGGTTGCGAAATTAATTGAACACACCCAGGGCCACATCAAGAGCGATGTCGCTTATGTACAGGGCGCAACAGATACGTGATCGACACGTCTTGTTTTATTTACATCGGTTATTGTTATGACCTTTCCGTTTGATCCCAAACACCGGTTAATTACAACAACAACCGTAGCTCTACGCAACGCCTGATTGACTTAAACGATACAAAGTCTCTTCAAAAGTAATCCACGGGCCGTACGATCAGTGGTCACATGTAGAGCCGTCTTAAGGCTTGGGCTCACAGGATCCAGTCTGAAGGCCTCGTAATTTGAAGGGCCCAGATTTACAAAAATTACGTTACATTTACAAAATATCATAACTTTACACTTTTGCACGTATATACTAATACATACAATAAAAAAATTGAGCCGTCGTGGGACGACGACTGGGAGATGGGAAACATTGAAACTATTTCGTGTAGAAAATATGCATGAAATGATGATTTATGAATGGAAATAAATACGGTAAAATCAAAAATATTATATAAATAAAAACAGTATACTTAGATTTTGTTTTCGGAAAAATTATTCTTTATCTACAAATTATATATTAAATTAATTATGTATAGGTATGTAACGGACAATGTAGAAAATCGGATAATTTAAAAATGTCCAGGCAATTTATAGAATATCCAATACAGCCGGTCAATGTAAAAATTACCACACTTGGCTCTGGCATTATATACAATGACCTTAATCTTACTGGCAATATTTTATGTTGTTTTATGTAAAGATAACAAAACATAATTATTATAGAAATTTACACCAGAAATGGCCATTCTATCCTAATCAGATATATCCAAAATAGTGAAAAAACTATCTTAATATCAAAATTCACTCTAAAACAGTGGTTCTCAAACTGTGGTACGCGTACCACTAATGGTACGCAAAAGACTACATGGTGGTACGCGAAAGGCCGCATAGTGGTAGAACTGATATTAAAAATTCAATATTTAACTCATATATTAATTAAAAACACTAATAAATTTGTAGTAATATATAAATAATAATTTTATTTTAGTATTTTACTGCCTTTTTATTTAAAATAAATATATTTAACTATGTGAAGTTTGTATGATTCTATTTTTAATAATTAATGGTACGTGACTGATAATATACACATGTGGTACGCGAAAAAAAAGTTTGAGAACCGCTGCTCTAAAATAAAAGTAAATATTTTATTTAATTTTTTCATAAAAAAATTTCAAATTTTATACAAAATGTATAAATTTGTACTTAGTTTTTTCTTTTAATTTCCGATCCGTTCATTTTGACTTGCGGGCCACAATATATTATAAAATATTATATGTGGCTCAAATAAAAAAAAGGTTGAATATGGCTGAGTTACAGGAACAATTAATTTTTCTTTTTGAGATACTTCAATCACGTCATATTTTTTTAAAAGTCTATAATCATTTGATTTAAATTTTTCCGTTTGATTTTTTAATTGCTTTATATGTACAATCAAATCACCATATTTTTATTTTCATTTTTTTTCATTAATAATTCATTAAATTTTCCATATTTAATAAATTAAATTTAAATTTATATTAAACAGCAATACAAATTAAACTAAAACACTGATAGTATTAGTAAACGCACTACACTCGATGATACTAAATATGTGACTGTACGAGTACACAACGAAATACCATAAATGTATAAAATATAATATCAACGTAATTTACTGACTGATTAAAATAGGTATATAAGATCTTACCTAAAATTTGAAAATAATCTAATGAATTCAATATCTTTATTACCTTTATAGTTGATAGAGATTAAAAAAGATGAGGATTTTTATCAAAAGAATTGTCATCTTTATTATACCTTGATAAATCAGTCAGGCAGTTATATTGGTAATTTTGTTCTAATTAATAATTTAGTATTAATTTAGTAATCACAAAATATGGCAATATTTTTTAAGTTCATATTTCCCTTGATAAATTATCTATTCTATTAAAATGCTCGAACAATATAGAAAATTCTTGAAAATTTTCAAATTGCCCAAAAAATATGAGTCATTCTATATAATGACCGGTCAATGTACCAATATAATGCCTCAAATATCTACATTGCCCGTAACATATGTGTATATTTGCCGTGCCTAGTGTGAAGTGACACTTTGCCCCTTAAGCCAAAAATGGGTCTTACCCGCCACATAAGATGTTTCACATAAAAAATTCGTCTATTAGACTCACTACAGCGGTTAATAAGTGGAGTTGTTTGACAACTAGATTATTAACAAAAAAGTGGATTTTCATAAAAATCAATTAGGGAATAGCATTATGAAGCTAATGCTCAATGAAAAAAAATACTCATTTCGTCAGCCATACATATGAATGTTTAAATTTTTCTATTTGACCCATACATTATGTAATAATTATAAGTATACATCTACTGGAATGTATTATGTATACGTATATTTGTTTTATAGATCTGGGATTTCAACAAATATTTTGAAATTTAATCATGTTTTTTTTTTCAAAACGGAACGTGGGTTCTCTTATATAGGGTATTTCGCAATTATCGACTCGTATGGAGTTGTTAATGGATTCAAACGACCCGGTCCTGAAGTGGGTCCGACGAGCGGCGACTGTTGAACATGTAAATTCCAGACGTATTGGTGAGGAATAGGAAATGTAGAGAAAAAAAAATTCGTCGCCATCACGGGCGACTCGGTTTACGACGTTCGTCACGTCGGGTCCCGGTGATCAGTGCGTGCGTAACGACGACCCTTTTGCACGCGCACGCGCGCGCAAACACGAACAATAGAGCACGCACACAGGCAACGTACACGAGCGCACTGACGCGCACGTACATGACACGCAACACTAACCTACGTAAATACGTTCGAACGCGAACGCGATGACGGGACGCGGTGGTGGTCGCGTTAATAGCCGTCCGTACGCCGTGGTCGTCGTAGCCCGTCACCGCCGCGGCCACCCGTCGCAGATATCCGCAGCCGCGGTCGCACACTCGCCCGCGACATTTAACGTTACACCGACATGCGACCAGCAGCCACCGCCGCCGCGTTGGTGACCGCGGCCGCGGCATCCTGTTGCCTGGCGGCCGGCGCCGACGACGGGGCCCTGTACCTGACGCCCATGATACGCGACGGTCGCGTGGACGAGGCGCGGACCGCGTGCGATGTGCGTCTGGCCAACGCCACCGCGGTCAGCAGCTGCGCCGGTTACCTGACCGTGGACGATCAGCACGGTTCCAATCTGTTCTTCTGGTTCTTCCCAGCCGCGAACCGACGCACCGACGCGCCCGTCCTGCTGTGGCTGCAGGGTGGCCCCGGCGCGCCCACCCTGTACTCTGTGTTCAACGAGCATGGCCCGTTCTCGGTGAACGAGAGCCACGGCCTCGAGCCGCGACGGCACGCGTGGACGGCCACGCACTCGGTGCTGTATGTGGACAATCCGGTTGGTGCGGGATACAGCTTCACCAACCACGATGCCGGCTATAGCGTGAACCAGATGGCCGTCGGCCTCAATCTGTACACTGCACTCGTCCAGTTCTTCACGCTATTCCCCGAGTACCGTGGCAACGAGTTCTACGTGGCCGGCGAGTCGTACGCCGGCAAGTACGTACCCGCCGTGTCGTACGCCATACACACCAACAACCCTGGCGCGGACGTCAAGATCAACTTTAAGGGGCTGGCCATCGGCAACGGGCTCATCGACCCTGCCAACCAAATGGTCTACAGCGAGTTCCTGTTCCAACACGGACTCATCGACGGTAATATCTCAACTTTCCAACATTTATTCCGTAACTAGCTGTATAACGTTTAGCCATACTGATTTGTAGCATACCGCAGCTTACGATTTATATTTTCGACGAAGATAAAATTATTTTTCAAACCTTCCCTTTTTTCTGCTAATATGAATTATACTGTTTATCAACATGGGTTTTTAAAACTTAACACTCCGCATTTTAGGGTACGATTTAGGTACTACAAATTACTCGTATTAATTAACTTATAAGCAAAAATCCTACTCAAAGTTACGTTTATATTATAAATATTAATTTAACTACTTGAGTAAAGTTGTTCGGATTGTCATAGCAAAGATGTCAATAGGGTAAACTTCAACACTAGGTTAAAAAATCTTATCTCTACATGTGGAGTTAACTGATTTCTAAAATATAATTTAAATAATGTAGAAATCAAAATTCCAAGGCTGATAAAACTTCAACATTATAGATTATTAATTATGTGTCAACTTCAGATGAAAATTACTATTGGATATTTCATATTGAAATAGTTGCCAATTGTTATAAGTTCATGTGACAATATTTTAATGAAAGAAGTTTTACTTTGAAAACAAAGATAAATAGTCGCAAATATACTCCCTTGCACTTATCGAAGCAATAATTTGTTGTGATGACTATACCAATATTTGAAAATTTGTGTTACGTTGCCCGTTACAATTACATTGTCAGTATAGATTGAAGCTTTTCAACATTGAAACATTTTGAACTATTTTTGAAGAATTTTTAAAGGGAAAATCGATTAAATGGATTGATTCATCTATGTATCAATAGAGAAATACCAATCCAAAATAGTGAGGCGACAGATTTTTTATTAAATATTAATTTTAATTAAGTAGAAAATTAATCCTTTAAAAAATGATCAAAACTATATTTATATGTATATATAATTACTATAAGTAATTACTTTAGTTAATAATTTCAAATCTCAATACACATTATATTAAATTAAAAATAACAATTAAAATTAAAAAACTGAATAATCTATTAAAATGTACAATATGTTCAATATGTTCAGATCATCCAATTTATTAATTTAAAAATTAAACACCTCCCATAGGTTATATATTGCGTGTGTGAGTGTGAAAATAACTGTTAAGATAAAAACATGTTAAACAAAACTATAGTACGATTATATTTTTGTTGTTGCAGAAAACGGAAAACGACACTTTGAGGAACAAGAGCGGCTGGTCCGCGAACGGATCGCCAACGGTGACTTCAAGGCGGCGTACTACGCGATGGCCGAGATGATGATCACCGTACCGTCACTGTTCAGCGAGCTGACCGGCATGCGGAACATCTACAATGTGGTGTGGAACGAAAACCCGATACCATTTGAGGGCGGCAACTGGGATAGGTTCGTGCAGGAGAATGCGACGCGGGCCGCGTTGCACGTGGGCAAACGGTCGTGGTCGATGGTGGACATGGTGTACGAGCGGCTCAAGTACGATATACCGCGGTCGGTAAGCCCGTGGCTGGCCACGTTACTGGACGCCGGCCAGTACCGTGTGCTGTTGTACTCCGGCCAACTGGACGTGATCGTGCCGTACCGCGGCACCGTGAACGTGGCCCGGTCGCTCCAATGGTCGGGCGCCGAGCAGTTCCGGAACGCGACGCGTACCATTTGGCGCGTGCCCGTGCCGGACGGTCGCGAGAACGTCACCAATGTGGCCGGCTTCGCGACCGCGCACGGCCCGCTTACCGTGGTGCTGATCCGCAACGCCGGTCACATGGTGCCGTACGATCAACCGGCGTGGGCGTTTGATCTCATCACCCGGTTCACGTCTGGAAAACCGTTTAAATAGCGTATTTTTACCCGCCCGATTGCCACGCGTATCATCGAACCGTTCGATTTTCAGTTACCGCAGCACTGCATTCGTATCCGAGACCTATACTTTCCTTTTCCCCATCACCTAGCAGCATTAACTGCAGTTTTCCCGAATTTTCGGGGTTAACATAGAATTCTGAACAGGTTAACACGATAATTCTTTTTTTTAACCGCACCAAAACCAATGAGTCGGTGGATCTTAGGTCATGTACATTAGACAAAGTGGTATGGAGCTATTTACATTCGCTGAGCAATCGGTCCCGATGTCACTGCTGCGGGTGTATGGTAACTTGTTTAAAATTGGTGCGACATTCGCCCCTCATTCCGCACTTTTTATGATGTATGTGTCCAAAGCAATCAACTTATGTGCATCACTCACCGACTATGCATGTTCTAGGTGATAACCCTGTCCAGTTTGTACGATCTAAGGTCGAGGTTATCAATGGAGATATTCTTCCTTTTTGTTTTCTTCTTCTTGTACGAGTGTTGCATCCTCAGCGGACGTTGATGGTTCCTGTTACCCTTTCAATGTATTGATCATTTTTGTGAAATAGATATCCATCAATGGTTCCTTAATTGAATTATTAATCTACAAAGTCGTGCAACTATCAAGTCGAAAGAAAAACACATTGCTGTAATAATCCACTTTATATGAGAAAACATACCTTTATCTCGTGTGGCAGTCGAGTCATCAAAATGCACGTTTTGCGGGTCGTCCAAAATGCATATACTGTAATACACCTAATTACAATAATGCGCTTTTGGACTTCAACGAATACTTAATTACGTTACAAAAACGTTATATGTCACGTATACATTATGTGCCAATAACGAAATGTGTGTATTTCGTGAATGCTTATATCGATTAAAAAATTTTCATTATTTCCACGGAACTCTTATTTCGATCGTTTTTATGCTTCATATGCAGACGTATAATATTTGAGAGAAATATACAACTAGCGCTTAAAATGTGTAGTGTATACATCATATATTTATAGATTATGTAATTGTAAGGTACCTCTTACGTGTATTACATATACGTGTTTTAAGACTATAATAACATGGAACTAATGACTAACAACTATGTATAATAGGTATAATTCTTTAATTGTGAGAAAGTGAATATGAATATATTTTTATTTGTAAAGATTTTTTTTTTTTGCTTATTTTAATATGTTTATAGTTGCAAACATTTTTTTTATATTGCATTTTAAATTTAGAAGTCGTTTTACATTTAATACTTTTAGAAAATCAAATAAATAATGTTATATTCGAATTAATGGAGTTAAGTGGGTTATATTGTATATTTCTTCATTGTAGTGTTTGAATTAATCAATAAACCACGAGAGTTAGCAAATTGTTCGACGTGTAAGAGTTTATTAGCTGTATTACCCGTCGATACCGGATTACAGTAAAAAAAATAAGATCGTTGAATAATCATACAAATAAATAAATAATTTATTAAATAAATACAATAAATATACACCTTTTGTATAAATGGTGTATATATTATGATATCATAATAATGCCCAACTGCCTAACTGGTCCTTCCCATCCGATACGCTGCCACCACTGATGGCTGATCCTTCCCCCCTTTCTGCCTGCTACCCGACCAGTTGTGCCACCGCCGCGTTATCGTTTCGTTTACGACCGATCTATTACTATTATTTACAATTGAACCAAAATTAGAGTATTGAAAATTTACAGTACATAAAATATAATAGTTAAATATTATATTAATATTTTATATAAAACAAGTTATAACTATAGTAAAACCATAAGTAAAAACAATAGCTTAAATTTTCATCACGTAACTATTGCGCTTGTCGTCTTGTACACACGTAAGCTCATTTTGGGGCAACGTTTTCTTAATACGAAGTGCTTTCATCGTTTATGGTCGTCTACAATCGAACTTACACAACTAATAAAATCACTTGCGAACTACAATAAGATAACATGGGCTACTTCGTCAGCTCCGTTTCGCGGCACATATAATTATTTTACGAAACCCATCCGTTGTACAATATAGGTAATTACCTACCATTTACAATAAAATACCATATAATCATTATAAAACCATATAATCTGCCGGGATCAAGGCAGTGACTAAACATCTAGTTCAGCTTCTGGTCTCTCCGGGCTTGCTTGGTTTGGGGTAGTCTTTTCATGTTCCTGCAGAACTCGAGCGTCGTAGCCACCAAGCGCTGAGATATTTTTCATTCGTGATGATGTTAATTATCTCGGGTCCACATTCTCGCATTCTGTTATCAGCAATCCATAGCTACTACTATTCTAGCTTCAATTGAGTTATTTTAGCGTTTTCATTTATCATTGCGTGGACTATCTAGGTATGCTTAATCAATGATATAAGTCTTGTACAGTTATATATGTAAAAACGCGTCGTGTGTATACTATAGAATGTCTCAAAAAGAACCTATGGCTTAAATCTCCTATAAATTACATATATTTCTTTTAAAAAAAACATAAAAAATATGAGGAGAAGTTAAAGTTTAACAGTGAAAAACAATATCAGGCATATAACCCTCCCTACTAGCCCTACAGGCGATTATTCTTCCCATACAATCATTTACTATCACACATTGCCCCATCAAGTTCGTTGAAGACATTTCGACGAATTTCTTGCTTAAGTTCCAAGCTATTTCGATCTTTATTTTGGTAAACTCGTGACTTAGTGTTCCTATAAGAAAAAATCACACAGCGTCAAGTCGCAAGATCGAAGTTCATTAACAATAGCCATGACGGATAACAGAGAGTGACGGTTGATCGAATTTATCTGTATTATATCGAATTCCAACACAAAAGTTAGGTTAGGACACCATTATTAATTTTCATGATGTCTCATAAAAACCATTTTACAAAATATCCTATTTTTGTGCTTACTAAAAGGGTGAGTAGATTACGTAGCACGCGAATGTAGATCAAAACAATCAAGCAAAAATTGGTCGGATAATTTCATTTTACATTTTATTCGTGTTGTAAGTTCGTGACATAATACATGTGGTTTTATCAATGGTTATAAGAATGGCTGTTATCAATGGTCATGATTTGTGATTACGAACTTTTGTAATCATCATCAAAATAGATAAGGATAATATTTTTAACATTATTTAAGAACTGGGTAGACATAAATTCATAAATATTCAATAAAATATAAGAATATTGTTTACATACAGAATTACATCTATAAGAAAGCATGTACAATTTACTCGTATTATATTATATAATAGTTTTGAACTTTTATTAAAATTACAATATTCGTATAACAAAGTAACATCAAAATATATGAAGGATTCGATATAATGAAAGAAGAAGTAACAAATATATTAAAACGTGCCAAACCAAGGAAAGAGCAGGGCCCGATGAAGAAGTGGCGAATTTTCTCTGACAAATTTCTCCAGATATACTTTTCAATGTATTACTTTGTACATTGAATTTTCTCTTAATAGACTTAAGAGCAGCCAGACGTAAGTTTTCAATGTATTCTTCATCAATATTCTAAATAATAAATTGTATAATTAGCATAATCATTATTACCAGTGTAAATAAAATAATTGTATTATTGAAAAGATACCAAGAACAAAATAATGGATATTACAGAAATATTATTAAGATAGATTCCATCTGCCAAATGGACGTGTTATCATGAAAAAAATAAACTTGGTACTTGGTTACTATTATATCTTATGAATAGAACCTATAACTTTTTTAAAAAAAATGAAAAATTTGAAATATCAATGAACTAAAATTCAATATTGAAATTATCATGCACAACAAAATATGATAAAGGATGAATGTTATAATTTGCCACGAACAAAGTGGCTAAGTAATAAAGTAACTGTAACATGTTTTCAAAAGCTACGAAAGGAAAACTACACAACTATAGTCCTTAAAAAATATTTAATTATAATAAAAGTTATACACTTTAAAGATTGTAATATATTAAAGACATAATTTATCTAGCAATAATGAAAAAAATATAATGGACTGAAGAAATTACCTTTTTAATAAATTTATATCATATCTATAGTTAAAAGCTTACAAAAATGTTTGTTAATAATGAAAAAATTTCAAACATTTTATACAAATATACTAATGGATATTATATATAAGTCCCGATTTACAAATACATATATTGTACTTTCAACAAGTTTTACATACAATAAATATTTTAATATTTCAAAAATAGACTTAAAATTTGTATGACGAAATAATTACATTCCTTACCTATTTAAATATAATCAGTACCTAATATTGTAACCTGTATAATATTATATTATAATTAATACTTACATTGTAATCCATTTTGTGAATTTTTAAATCGAATCCACTTGAACCAATTGTGGAAAATCAGATTGGTGTACAAACGTGGACAATAAGATTACAAATAAATATACATAAATGAGAAACTAAATCAATCGAAACATATTGCTAGGATATTTATCTAGACCGCGAAATACAAAAATAAAGGAGAATAGGTACTTAAGAGAAAATTATATATAAATTATATATAATAACTAAAAGAGCTTATGAATATAAATTATGTATTTGAATAAAAAATATAATTTTTAAAAATATGAATGGATAATTCTTATTATTTTAAATAATCTTTATACGTTATTTCTTATGCGTAGTTGAGAATTTTTAATGCACATTTGATCAAATGTTAATGCAATAACATCGATGTTTTTTGCCCATCCCTATACAGTATTTCCTGCGCTGCGCTTCCCTATGCTGTGCTGGGTCACCTGCGTCCCAATGTGCGCCAGGCCTAAATATTGCCCATAGTAAATAACATTTCAAACAATTAAAATCTTAAGCAATTAAGCACAAGATTTTGCACATTTTAAAACTTAATATGAACACATTACACGGAACAAACGTCAGAAACCTTCCAAAAGCGAGAGCAACTTGTGCACGTTGCGGTGAATCTTCTGATCGATCCTTGGCGACGGTCGTCGGTTGTAAGGTTAAGGTTAAGGTGACAATTATGCAAGAATATGGCAACTTGGAATGGCAATGACCGAGTCGTGTGCAAGTCGCGAGCCCAAAACGATCAGGTGCGTAATGTCATACACGGTTCGTCGCCGAACAAGAGTTCTGCCGGTGGCAGGAAGGTCGGAGACTCATGTAGTGGTCCTAAGGCAGGGGTCACCAAATGGCGACCCGCGGGCCGCATCCGGCCCGCGAATGCATTTTAACCGGCCCGCAGACTGAGAGAAAATCCAATAATTTAATACGTATTTATTATCAAGCGAGACTGTTGCAGTCGAAATGTTGCAGGTAATTTCTTATCTTTGTACATTATTACTGCATTATTAGGTTTTTTCGGATGCAACAAATATTATACTAGCTGTGAAAAATATCTTATCTGTTTTATTATTTATTTGAAATTTTATTACGACAAGTCGACAACTCGTTAAGTCACATATATTAATATACGTACAACACGTTAGTCCGTCAGTTATCGGTGAGACGGTGGTGTCCGCTGCGACGTAATTTTTGTTCGTCCGTTCCGTTTTATTTATTAATTTTCGTAATTAAATAATATATTATTCTTTGTTTTAACTTGACTATGGATAGAAAAAGAAGAAAAATAGAAAATGAAAATAGACAGTTTTGTCCTGAATGGATGGACTTATATTGTTTTATTTTACCAGATAGAGTAGGTGCCTTACCTGTTTGTTTGATTTGTAATCAAACAGTGGCTGTTATGAAAGTATTTAATATCAAACGTCATTATGAGACACACAAGTCATTTGCCGAAAAATTCCCATTGGGTACTGGCCTTCGTAAAACAAAAATTGAAAATCTAAAAATTTTCCTAACTTGAAAAAAGTTGTTGATGAAAATCACGAGATTGATATCACAAATTTTACGAAGTTTTTGGAAAGTTTAAAAACTGAATTCGAAAGACGCTTTGCTGATTTCAGAAAAATTAAAAACGTTGTACAATTATTGAACAGTAGTTTTACATTGCAGCCTGATGGTGAATGGATAACGAAGCAGAAAACGTTTTCAAATGCAACAGAGCATATCTTCAAATGGAAATAATTGAATTTCAATCAGATGATGTCCTAAAAAATTTGTATAATGAAAAGTATTCAAAAACTGAAATTGATTCTACATATGATGAATTTTGGTTGAAATATGTATCTGAAAAGAAATACCCGACGTTGAAATTATTGACAGTGAAAATGTGTACAATGTTTGGCTCCACATACGTCTGTGAGTCTGCTTTTTCAAAAATGAATTATATCAAAAACAAATTCCGATCCCGACTCACCAACGAACACCTTGAAATGATGATGAAGATAGCTACCACAAACCATAACCCCGACTTAAAGCAGCTAGTTGAAAGCAAGATCTGCCATTTTTCTCATTAAAAATATTAATTAATAATTGTTTCATATATTTATTTAATTTAATTATATTTTCATTAGTTTTAGTTACATAATAATTAATAAGTGTATATATTTTTTTTTTAGAAATAAAGTATTTTTGACCAACCGGCATATTATAACAAATATTATGTACTTTTGAAATTTTATGGCCCGCGAGAATTTTCCGAATTCTTAATGTGGCCCGTCGGAAATATTAATTGGTGACCCCTGTCCTAAGGGAATGTTTATGATACGAGAAAACCGTAAAAACACAAAGGGCAACGAAAAGCCATCGGGCTCATGCATGCGTGCATGCCACAAGAGTCGCAAACAATGCCCGTACCACGATCGTCAGTCGCATTCCGTTGTACAGCCGTCGAACAACGATAAAGAAGTAGACAATGGAGTGATTCCGAAATCCGGAAAGATGTGATGCAGTAGTGGGTGTAAGTAAAAGATGTCGTGAGTCAAAAACGATGATTACAATCATCCGGAGACCACAAAGTCGCCGGTAGAAAACGAAAAAAAGACGCGTCCGCAAAAGGGTTCGGACCCTATGGACTTAGTAACTCCTACTTGTCCGAAAACAATAAATGGTAACGAGTTGGCCGAAAAAATGTGCGAACTGACCAACGTTTTTTTTTACGAACATTGGCAATATTCTATTGGCAAACATGGCGCTTGTCGAAATCGTAAAGGGACAGCTTGGTACGAATAAATTGCACAACGGTTTTCTGGTTAAGAGAATCCCACATCCACATATCTTGTGCCCGTCTTACAAATGAACAACATAACAAAACAATGTTCAAGTTAATCGATTTTGTTTTTAGCTCGAATATTACAGTAATTATAACAACTATCAAACTTAAGGTCAAGAATATTATTTATGTTTGACAATTTATTACGATTTTTTATTTTCAGACAAGTTACAAGTATGTAAAATATTGACGCTTCTAAAAAATTATAACTCACTAAAAAATTAAAATCTCGTGAAAAAAACCGAAATACAAACGCCGATAATATTATTTTTTGAATATACGTCATTTCGATGCGCGCCAAAATTGCTGCGTCGAAAAGACACGACACCTTATTTTCTTTAGGTTTTATCAGTTTTATCAGTAAAATACGAATGTAGAATTATTTATAATAAAAAATTCTTATTAGGTAGTTTTTATTTATTGATAACTACGATAAACCTAATCTTCTTTTTCTTTTAGATGAAGGTCAAGACTCGGATGTGTGGTAACCACATAATTTCAATTTATTTTTTATTGAATTCAGTTTAGTTTGGTTATTGCAAGTGTTTTTTTATTATTAAATCTTTATACAATCAATTATCACATTGAAAATTATTTTTCCCAATTGAGTACCTAGGTAACTCCAAATCTTGGATCAGTCGCTTATAACGCAAATATTGGATATTAGAAAAAAATTATATACGCTTGTTAGTCGCCTCAACAAGTTTATTGCTATAGCCTCTTTAACGATAGCAATGACAGATAACAAAGAAAGAAGGTTGATTGAATTTTTATTGTAGGTACCTACCTACTTAAATATTCAAATATTCGTGCATATCCATTCGAATCGTGTATAGATTATACCAATATATCCCAACGAAAACGGACAACATGTTTCAAAATACCCCCAAATTCGTGTTCAAACGATTAAGGTTTGTATTGACATTGTGATCAACAACGAATTTGATTATCTCACGATATATATCATTATACAAACTATTTACTATGGGATAGCCAAACGATCGAGAAACAGCGATAATATTTATATATTACAGACGAACGAGTGCGCGACGTAAACGGACGCACAGGTCATCGTCATGACCCCTCCTCACTTATCTTTAAACGAATACCAATAACGAATCGTTGTTTGTACCACACACACACACACGTGTAGGCATATGATTTACAGTGTCGCAGCAGTGATCCCTAATCTCTAGAGCACCGTATCAGTCGCAGTGCCGGCCGTTCATTATCAGTTTTCAGTCGGCGGCCGGCATTCAGTCGAGACCGAATCGTACGATATTATAGCCGTTGTCGTGTCGGTCGGTTTGAAAAAACAACGTACGAAAACAAATCAAATCGCGTGCGAACAAGTCATCGTACGAGTTACAAACGCGATCCTTGTGCGATTGAATAGACGCGCGCGACAACCGCTTTGCCATAGTATAGTGTTGCGGCGTTCGCGTGGAGGTACTTATTGTAAGTAAATAACGCACCGGAGAAGGTATTTCCAGGATGCGTTCCAGGTGTGCGCTTTTGGTGCAGTTGTCCGCGTGCGCCGTCGCGCTGTGTTGCGGTTGGACCGCGGTGGTCACGGCGGTCGCGTCGTCATCACGTGCGAGCGACAACGATGGGGCCCTGTACCTGACGCCCCTGATACGCGCCGGTAAGATCGACGAGGCGCGGGCCGCGTGCAATGTGAAACCCATGAAAGCGGCCATCGAAAGTTATTCCGGTTTCCTGACCGTGGACGACCGGTACGGTTCCAACATGTTCTTTTGGTTCTTCCCGGCCGCAAGCGGCGCGGCCGACGCGCCTGTACTGCTGTGGCTGCAGGGCGGCCCCGGCGCGTCCAGCCTGTATGCGGTGTTCAACGAGCACGGCCCGTTCTCGGTGGCCAAGAAACACGGGCTCAAACTGCGCAATCTCACGTGGACGACCACGCACTCGGTGCTGTACGTGGACAACCCGGTAGGTACGGGATTCAGCTTCACGAACGACGACGCCGGCTACAGCGAAGACCAAACAACTGTCGGTCTCAATCTGTACGAGGCGTTGGTGCAGTTCTTCACGCTGTTCCCCGAGTTACGGAAAAACGATTTCTACGTGACCGGCGAGTCGTACGCCGGTAAGTACGTGCCCGCTGTGTCGTACGCCATCCACTTGAACAACCCCAACGCAAACGTCAAGATCAACCTCAAGGGATTGGCCATAGGCAACGGGCTGGTCGACCCCGTCAACCAGTTGGTGTACGGCGAGTACCTGTTCCAACATGGATTCGTCGACGGTAAATCTGCACTATCACACACGAGCGTGCAAACGTTTTATAATCAGCATTTTTTTAATTTTTTTTTCCCCGCACTTGTGGCGTTTGATGACACGTGCATGTAAAACGTATTATATTTAAGTATAATCAGTGCTTGTCTTGGAAAAATTAAAGAAGAGGGACTCTGTTTACTTAAAAAAAATACCGTCCTCAAGACTTGATTAATTAATTGATTAATTATAACGTAATAATAGTAGGGGGCGCTAAAATTCCTGAAAATTAGTTGGAGTACTCCGTCTCTCTGCGTTCCCCCTCAAGTCAAATACTGAGCATAATCCATAACCACTCTAGTGACGCGAGTATGTGATCATGCTATGAACTACATCGACGATTTTTTTGGTTTTAGTTTTTTTTTTTTTTTTACAGTACGACCAGTGTCTACTTAATACTCACCACAAGTATAGTACACATAATAGCATACATATATGCACCGTAAGTTTGTATCTAAGTATGGCTACGCACTTAAACTCGTAACATTCTACTATACTGTAAATATCGTTGGGATATAGTCAAATCGGGCATTTTACTAAATGCTTAGACAAGTAATCAAATTTATGCAATCGCACTACATAATTATATATAAAAACAACGAGTTTTAGAATATGAATAATTTATACTGAATATTATGGTAACAGTTTTTTTCCATAACTGCCGAATCATATAAAAAGATTGTGCTAATTATTACGATAACATTGGACATTCAATTTTAATGTCATTATTTTTAATATTTAACTTAAATGAATAGGAAATAAATTCAAAAAATATCTTGTTTTATTTAGAATGATTCATCACTATATTTCGGAAAAAAATTATATCTTTTAAGAAACTTATAATAATGGTGAATTATAATATTGTTACTTACGACATATCAACTAACCAATTTCAAAATATACTTTAAAATAATGACACGTTGTGGTTTACAACATATATTTTGACAGTGTTCATTACTCTGAAAAAACTAATAAGCAATTTAAGATTTTTGATAGGAAAAATAAAAACCCTATATAATAAATTATTCTTAATATTTATCTTTTAATTAATATATATTTTAATCATAAACTACATTTTTAAAAAAAATTAAGGAATTATCAATAGGCCTTTTCACTATCGATGTACACATACAGAATGCCTACGATGTTGTTGTTTTTCCAATCTTTTTAGCTTGGCCTTTAATTTTACAGCAAAATACCGATATGCTAACTTAATGTTTCACATATATTGTAGACTATAGCTAAAACCTTACTTATCATTGAATATTCATCAAGTCATTAACAATATGTACATTAGTTCGCATTACATACATAGGGAAAAGAGAACAAATTAGGAAAATAAATAAATAGCCAGTGTTTAAGCATTCTGTCCTAGTCGAAAAATTAATACAATCTACAGTAATATATATTTAATGTTCCCTTGGAATGAATGAATGGTATGATGAAAACTATAATAATATTTTTTATTTCCAGTAATTTATTGGAATTTCATTACTTATTAAAAAAATATCTATCCCTTTTGATCTTAAATTCGGATACTTTATACAATCCACATAGATATGTTATACATATGTTTATATTTAGAATTGTATGAAATTAAGAATGGCTTCTTCTAAACAAATGACATTTTCTGTGATCATATCATCATATCGAATAGAGGATATATGGTATCTATAAATATATAAGTATGATGTGTGTATATGTTTATATTTGTACGACACTTTCAAAATAATAAAACAGCATAGTTGTATATTCTCTAGGCTATTATTTATATGACACCGTAACTTGATACCTAGATAGTATTCTATTATTGTTTTAATATTTTTCTTAGTCCGTCAACTATTTTTTATTTATAATAGCATTGATGACGTTGTCGTGGTCGTTGCGGGCGTTGCCCGAGTGCGTCCCATTAATCATAAATTTTAATAGCCCAATGGCGTCCGTGATAATATCCCTAAAAATGTTGATATATCCCATGTGCGTCCCCAATATTATTGCTATCAATATTTATTTGTATGTATAAATGCATTGATAACTAATAATAAAAAAATAGACAAAAACATTTTGATACAAATTTTCAATCATATATTTAAAAAAAATGAAATCAGTCAATGAAAAAAATATTAAATTCATTGAAGAAAATATACGGATATACAAAACTGAACAAATCTCTAGATATGATTATGTAAAAATCATGGCATTGAAAATTTAATCAAAAAAATAGTTTAAATATTAACCAAACATTTAAAAAATAGATGTATGCCTAAATAATTAAATGAACCTATATAATAATAAACTTTTATAATAAATATAATATTATAATTAAATAACCAAATATTTTTGGGGTGTAAGCCTGTTCACCTCCTCGTGGTCCACCCTGAGTTACTCTAAATTAATTAGGACGCACTCGGGGGAGATCTATTCCAGACACATTCGGAACATTAAATAAGGGACATTTTGGGACGCACTCAAGAGTTGCCTGTCGTTACGTCCCTATAGTTCTCACATCTCTCTAATATCTATGACGTAGAATCTACGCTTTATTCAAGTTAGTTGGAATCATGTTTACAATTCAATTGTATACAATATAAATGAATTGAATAATGAAGTTTTTACTCTATATAATGGTAGTTAGGTCATTAACGTGTTCGTGTTATAAATCTTTAATATAATTGTATCGGCCGAGGGGCTTAGAACCGAAAAGCCTCATTATCATACAACTCCAACGATCAAAGCATACAGTTCTTTATTTTAAACACGTACGTCGAAAACTAAATCCATGCATATTTAGATACTGAGTATAAACGATGTACGAGTATGTTATGGTTACGACCTACACTATTCAAATTACACTAAAGATATTGATATTTGTAAATAATTTAATATTCATTCGATTTGAATACCTTTACGCACTTACGGAAATTAAAATAAAATATTATTTCGAAGTTAAATATTATTCTGAATCAAGTACTTACGATAAATACATATCGAATACACAATCTGTATACATAACTCTCATGGTCGACTGATTTTTCCATAATAAAAAAATATTCCTAGATATACAACACTAATACATGATAACTTATGTACTTAAGAAGATGGAATTAACTTATTTTAGACAAAAAAAACGTATTTAGATCAAACAATTATAATCAATATATATATATGTATCAATAATAAAACACACAAAATCAACGTACATCGCAGTTACCTAATAAAACATGGCATAATAGGTTTTGTATAATTTTGTGTTCGTAGTACCTATACGGCATTCGTAGATTGAAGTGAAAATGATTTTAACAAGTTTAATAAAAGCCGATGGATAATGTGAATGGATCGAAAAATCGTGTACAAATGCATATTTATTTTCGAGATAATCAACTTGCGGATTATACTAATTTACCCGAGTAGTAGCCCGGTGGCCCGGTAGATAAATGATATTTAATTAATATTTCTTAATATTTACATATTATAGTAAAATTGTATTTTAATTTCACTATGATTAGGTATATATTAAAAGTTGAGTAACAAAATAATTTTTATTAAATACGGGACATAATGATAATACCATTTTAAATGTAATATTATTATATAGGACCTCGTATTAAGATATACTAAGAATATTATGAATTGACTCTTAAACACACCCCCCTCAGAAAAAAATCGTATCTACGCCACTGGGTATAGTGTAACATAGCGTATTAAACAAACGGTAACAAGAGTTTGATGTTAACTTTCCCCGTACTACAGTGTACATGAAATGCGATAATAGACGTATTGTTGTTGTTGTACCGTTGCAGAGGACGGTAAGCGAAAGATCGAGGAGCTGGAGAACACGGCTCGCGGTCAGATCCTCGGCAACGACTTCAAAGCCGCGTTCCGGACGTTCGACATGCTATTGAATGGTGATGTGTACCCGTACCCGACGTTGTTCCAGAACCTGACCGGCATGCGGTACTACTTCAACATGCTGTGGGAACGCGACCCTGAGCCTTACGGCGACTGGACTATGTACGTGCAGCAGCCGATCATGCGCAACGCGTTGCACGTGGGACGGCGGCCGCTGAACAACGGCACGGTGGTCGAACAGCACATGATGGAAGACGTGATGCGGTCGTCGGTGGTGCCGTGGCTGTCCGAGCTGCTGGACGCCGGCAAGTACCGAGTGTTGCTGTACTCAGGGCAGATGGATATCATCGTGCCGTACCCGGGCACCATGCGCATGGCCCAGTCGCTCAAGTGGTCCGGCGCCGAGCCTTTCAAGAACGCCACTCGCAAAATTTGGCTGGTCGATATGTCGGAGGACAACACGACCGATGTGGCCGGTTACTCGACCACGTATGGTCAGCTAACCGTGTTGCTGGTCAGGGACGCCGGCCACATGGTGCCGGGCGACCAGCCGAAATGGGGTCTCGATCTCATCAACCGGTTCACGACTGGTAAACCCTTTTGATGGTCCACGGTTATAATATTACAATATAGTTGAGTGTCGCTGAGGACGATACTTCTTGTCGATGCGACATCTCACCGCATGGTCGATACTATGTCGTGTATAATTTTATTAAATTTTCCACGCCCGTTGTTTTCTTTTACCGTGTATTATTCGTCTGATGATTTATTTGTTATTTTTGCATTCCATACATTTCTCTACTAACCTACTTACTTGGCGGGAGCAAAATCTAATTATGCGTTGTTACGTGCATAATATTATCATGTAAAATGTTATGTATCGTGTACATACCTTCGCGTTTATCATTTAATGCTGTACGATTCAACTATTTAATTAAGAGAGAAAGCCAATCAGGTTTATAATTTTTATTTTGTATAGACACACGTTTTTTACTTATTTTAATGCCTGCAATTTTTTTTATTCGTCTATTTGATACGGATGTATTAACGTGTTACTCTTTTAATAAATACACACGATTTATAATTTTGCGATGGTTGGTATTTTATCTTGTAAATTGAAATGTACCTAAAATGTATTTTTTTTAATTTAAATGATTTAAAAAAACAATAACATGTTTGCAGTTTTTGTCACCATAGGTTCGATGTATTCTATACATATACAGCAAATATAATATTTTATGAAACCTTTGGTGCACTTTAACGCTCAGAAAATATTTTCTTTGTATAATTCTTGTTTAATAGTGATTCTCAATCACGTAATTACGAAAAACAATGAGCACCAAAATCGACCCTCAAAGCTTGTTGAACAAATATGATTAAAATATTGATGCATAAGGTACAAATCAAGTGAGTACCATTAAGACTCATGGTAGTCAACTTGTTAATATTTGTACATATTAAAAAAGTTTAGTAACTGATAAAAAAATATCACAAATAATCGTTAGAAGTTATCTCAATTAATCGCATACCTTTTTTCAGAAGAATATTAAAATTTTTCATGTTTCATCAATTAATTTTACATATAAATATTCACAATTATAAAAATTATGTTCTGTATTTATATACAAACTACAAGATTCAAACATTTTGAACTTTGATGCCAAATATAATCAAGACATATTTTATTACTCGAATACAATTTCAAGCTTATGCGGTTGTATTTTAATGCAATATAGGTAACTAGAATTTAAAACTTATTCATTACAAAATTATTTTAACTCAACTTTTTATTTTATTTAATATTATTTTCATAACAATTTGGTTAAATTATTTAATTATTATTTTTTTTTTTTTTTTTTGGTTTATTATTAATTTATTTAACTAGATACTAAAAAAATGAAATGAAAATTATAACAAAATATAAATTAGATAACAGGCAACAGTCCTACGTTGAATCGAGTATTGTCATTTTTTTTCGAAAATTTAGAGTAATTTTATACAGTTAAAAGTATACATGGGAATGAATATACTAATACAGTAAAACGTCGATAAAACGGAACTTCTGTAAGACGGAAACCACGGTATTACGGAACATTATTTTGGTCCCGTTTTGAATTACATATAATTAACTAGCCCCGTCAAGACGGAAACCCCGTTAACACAGAAAAATGTCATGGTCCCAAGCGATTCCGTCTTATCGAGATTTTACTGTACTTAGGTATAGGCACATCAAATTTTTCGATCAAATTAATATTTTTTAATTATTCATTAATCATAGTATATGATTATAATTTATTGCTAATTTGTAATTTTTTATCGACATCATATAATTAGAAATCAACAAGCTGCTATTATACATGTATAGTATTATTTCAGTGGATTTTTTGGAATAAAATTATTAATAAAAGTATGGTTTGAAATGGTCTATTAGAGGAATTATTAATTTTATAGTTATTCATTACAACGAAATAAAACACTAAGTTGATCAGATAAGAGTGATAAGACAGTTATGACCTCTGCATATCTAAATGATTCAATTATATTTGTCTCACAACTACTTCAATATTGAATATAAGTATTGTTTTAAAAATTAAATAATAATATTCTGATGTACAAGAATTTGATTCATGTTTAGTTATAAAAAATCAATAATGTATCAATATTATAATATTAATAACAAGTTGTTTATTATACGTTACATAATTATAAGCTATATTATTTAATGGGTAGTTGTAACATAATTTTATTGAGATATATTAAAAGTATTTCAGATGAAGTTGAATATTTAAAATACCTACCTACTAATTAATTTTACAATGCTATTATATATAAATATATATGCCATAGTCAATTATAATTTAATAAAATATTAAAATATGAAGTATAAATTGGTAATTGTTGATTACATAGTCATCAATGAATAATTATTTAAATTGAAAAATACATTAAATATTATATTTATATACTTAATATAATATATATATAATATAATACAATATAAAGTATTTTAATTCAGTAAACAGTATGAATATTAGGAATAGCAATTTTTTTTATTTTCAATCTCATTCAGGTCCAGGCGCATATTAAGATGTAGACGACATAACGCAGCGTCATAGTTTTCTGTAATCTATTAGAACTTAGTAGCGAATATTGGGAGGCAGGAAAGGGCAGGGTTGTACTGTACCTAAATTAGTCTATGTCACGTAGTGTTTACAGATTACTGCAAACGTTTCACGTGCTTTGGAAGATATTTTATAGTATAATATTTTATGATATCGCATTATTTTAAACTATTGCTAATAAAATTTTTTAAAAATGTACGATTGAAAGAATTTAATCGAAGCCGTCCAATATTACAAAGCTTTTTTGAAATGTTAAATGTACAAAATTGCAACACTTATGCCTTGTTGTATAACAATAATGTAAATGTAAAAAACTTACCTTTAGAATACTGCAAAATTGTTTTCAGAATCGATCGGTTTTTTAGCATTAAAACCGAACTAATAAATAGTATCTCGAATCAAATAAAGAACTTGATTTCGATTTAAGTGAAAGTAATTCGAAAATTGATTGTCAGAAAATTCCTACGAAACATTCAATTCACCATGACTTTTTCTTCTTTTTTATAAAATTACTCTTCACAATTTATTACGTTTAGTTGGGTAAACATTTAATTTTTTTAATTTCGTTATAATTGATAAGACAAGATATGGGAAAACATAGACAATACATGGGGAGTCAATAATATCCCCCGTAAGTTGGCCAACCGTGCTATACAGCATTATAATTATTATTACAACAGTAATATTCAACATAATTTTAGTATTTAACCTGAAATGGTTCCTTGACATAAGAATAAAATTATTTTTACTGTGCATTGTAAATCTTAAATATATGAAATTAAATGGAGTTAGTTAGATGTTGTACTAATAACATTTGTACTGTAATAGGTTGGAAGTATTCACTAAACGTTATATTTAAATATACTTCTAATGCTTAAAAACTTAATATTAACTAACGTTATTTGTTCATTATCCTTAAAAATATTTAAACATTAATGTGTTGTAAATGTTACGTAACCATTACACAATTTAAAATGACTTTTAAATATTTCAAATCGAATACTGAGCCATTGTTAATATAACGTTTAACTCTAAATATAAAATGTTAATCATACAATTATGTAATATTTTATTTTGGACGTTGAAATTTTAATGGAATTTAAATATTGTTCTAACATTTAACAATACAAAACGCTATATGGTATACATATATTAATTATGTGATTAAACCAATATTTACGTACATTGTAACATATATATATGTTTATGTGTGTGTGCAAACGTTCGTACTCGCAATATGTCTAAAACGTGCGTAGACAGCGTCCGGACATCGTTGTCGGTCGCTTGACCCGATCGATGTTTACATATGATTTACAGTGTCTCTCGGTGCAGCGGTCCGTCGTCTAATCAACCGCATCGTAGATGCCAGCCGACCAATGTTACACGCCTACATTGTTACACTATCTCTGTTCGAATAAAATCAACGCTTATATCGGTATTCGCGTTCGTCGGTCGGGTTCAGTCGAGATCGCGGTACGCTGCTATCGCAGTGGCCCTCGTGCGTTACACCGACCGGACGGGTGCTCTGTACCAGTACGTGTTGGACACGTTGTCCGTCGGTTGATAAACCGAGCGCGCGTTGCAAACGGACCAGACCCGTGGCCCGCGTGTGTGCCGATTGCGAGTTCGACGTGTTGCCCGCCGGCGAATAAATAACGCCAGTGTCCCCGTAACGTTTTACGCGATGCGTTTCGTCACCGCGCTCCGGGTGTTGTTGGTCGCGTCTGTCGTCGCGCCGTGCCGCGGCGTGCCCGACGACGGGGCCCTGTACCTGACGCCCCTAATACGCGCCGGTAAGATCGACGAGGCGCGGGCCGCGTGCAAGGTGAAGCCCCTGATAGCGGCCATCGACAGCTGCTCCGGTTATTTGACCGTGGACGACGAACGCGAGTCCAACATGTTCTTCTGGTTCTTTCCGGTGGCGAATGGCGCGGCCGACGCGCCCGTACTGCTGTGGCTGCAGGGCGGCCCCGGCACGTCCAGCCTGTACGCAGTGTTCAACGAGCACGGCCCGTTCTCGGTGGCCAAAGGCCGCGACGCGCTCGAACTGCGCAACCACACGTGGACGGCCACGCACTCGGTGCTGTACGTGGACAACCCGGTGGGCACGGGTTTCAGCTACACGAACGATGACGCCGGCTACAGCACCAACCAGACGGCCGTCGGGCTCAACCTGTACGAGGCGCTGGTGCAGTTCTTCGCGCTGTTCCCCGAGTTACGGAAGAACGATTTCTACGTGACCGGCGAGTCGTACGCCGGTAAATACGTGCCCGCCGTGTCGTACGCCATCCACCTGAACAATCTCAAAGCGGAAACCAAGATCAACCTCAAGGGTTTGGCCATAGGCAACGGGATGGTCGATCCCATCAACCAGTTAGTGTACGGCGAATACTTGTACCAACACGGACTGATCGACGGTAATAGCGTGTTACAAAATTTCAACATTAGGTTTAACAGCTGCTCAAGCATGTATTGTAGCTACGTATTTTAGCGTTTTGGTGTGTTTTTTAGCAAATTCTTCCTGCTTATATTATGAAACAGGTACCATATTTTTAGGATCAATCCTTTATGAAAATTGTATAACTGATATATTTTTACTGCCTCTGTATTTCGTGTTTGTAAAGATTCTACATAAATAATTTTTTATACTATTATAGGTTTTTGATTATCTTTTATTTATATACATATTTCTTTTAATACGACTTCAATTGGTTTTTAAAGTTTGCGATCAAATATCATAATTATCTTAAGGGATTCTTCGGTATTCAAATGGTCACCTTAAGAGAACTAAAGTTTTCAATTTGTACTTGAACAATGTAGTTATCATTATACGAGTCGAAACTTTGTACACAATTATCAAACACTATACACCAGTGGGGTCAGTGACAAATCTACGACGGGGATATGGAGGAAAGATCTCCTTCGTGAGTTAAAAAAAAGTTCATTTATTTTGACCAGTATCGCCTTAATCATGATTTGTTATGTACGAAAATATTTTATATCCCTTCCCCCATAAGAAAATCCTAGATCCGCCACAGAGTGGGGTAGTGGCCCAGAATCCTTGGACATTTTTGAGACTATACTTCCATAAAATAATTGATAATGTTGATGTATTTAACAGTAAATTTCCAAATCATAAGTTATAATTCCAGTTATAATCAGTATTTAAGTAGAACAATAATTCACGCAATATACATTATTTTTTTTTTATAATAATAAAAAACTTGATTTCATTTTTAATTTGTACATCCATTAATTATCTTATGATATTATTCATTTATCATAATAAGTGTTACCATGTAATAATAATAATAATTATATAGTATTCACTATACAAGAATCAATTAAAATATTCCAGTGATTCCAATAATTGCTTAGTAAATTTATGATTACATACACGAACCATTTTTTTATCATAACCACAAAGTTTTCTTTATCTACTGTATTCCAACTTCCAATATAACGCATATTGTTATTATATTTTGACTTTTCATATAAATTATAATTTTATAACCTGTTCAAATATTTGTATTTTCCTGTATATTTCAATAAAATAAACATCATATCATTATATTAAACGATGACCACGAAGGTTTCTGTGAAATGTACAGACATTCATAAATTCATAATATATTTATGCTTTAAAGAGATTTCAAGTTATGATTTTCTTTCTCTTTCTGTCACACATAAAATATAGGGATTAAGACGTTTTCTATATTTAACGTGCTGATCGATTTATTAAAGCGATAAAGATTTTTAAAACTGATTTAAAATCATCGAAAAGTCTTCTTTATATCGACTTTCTCACATTTTTAAATTTTGTATTTAAATAGTAATTAAAAATAAATATTTGTTAATTTTCTGTTTCCAATTTGTTTAATCCTATTATGTAAACTTTTGGAAGAAAAAAATCAAAAAAGTGGGAAATTCGATCCAAAGAAGACTTTACGACGAATTTAAATCAATTTTCAAAATCCTTATCGCATCAAAAGATCGATCGGTATGTTGGAAATAGAAAAATTTCTAAATTCCTATATTGCACGTGTGATATAAATATAAAGAAATCATAGCTTACATCCCCTTAAGACTATCAAGTGAAAAGCGTACCTACATTAAATACCCTTTGTAAAATATTTCAAAAAAATTACTCTATACGGCCGTATTGATACGTATATGGTACACAAAGCGTGCCAGGGGCCTTATATGCAACGATTGAAATATTATAATTTATAACCATTGCAGAGAGCGGAAAGAACAAGTTCGAAGAGATGCAAAATTCGATCCGCCAACAGATCCTTCTAGGTAAATACAAGGACGCTGCCTGGAAATTCGATCGGATGATATTGAAAGGCAACATGTACCCGTACCCGACACTGTTCCAGAACCTGACCGGTATGCAATACTTTTACAACGAGCTATGGGCATGTGACCCGGTGCGTTACGGCGACTGGAAGAAGTACGTGCAACAGCCGGACGTGCGATCTGCCCTGCACATTGGACAGCGGCCGCTGAACAACGGACTATTGGTCCAAAAGTACCTGATGGAAGACATGATGAAGTCTGTGAGCTTATGGCTGGCCACGCTACTGGACACCGGCCGGTACCGCGTGTTGCTGTACTCGGGACAGCTAGACATCATCGTGCCTCACCCGGGCACGTTGCGCATGGCCCACTCGCTCAAGTGGTCGGGCGCCGAGCGCTTCGGGAACGCCACGCGTACCCTGTGGCTCGTGAACGACAACAACATAACCAACGTGGCCGGTTACTCGACCACGGCCGGTCTGTTGACCGTGTTGCTAGTTCGTGACTCGGGTCACATGGTGCCGGGCGATACCCCGAAATGGGGACTGGATCTCATTAACCGGTTCACGGCCGGTAAACCATTTTGACCCGGTTCGTACCATTACGTAGCCGGCACGAGAGAACTACTTCCTTATTAAATATTATACACGTAACGCTCACGCAAACGTAAATATGTTATAATCCGAACAAGTTGGTTTTTAGTTTTCGCTACACAAATAATATAACAAAACGAAATGTTTTCTATTTTGTTAAAAATAAATTGTTTTTCTAAAAAAATCTCATACTTATATTTATTGAAATCGACCAACCCACTTGATGTTCTGCGTGGAACGATATTATAATATCCTGATATTCTGTTATTGGACAAAAATCAACCCAGTTCACCGCGGTGGTGTTACTAAACTATAAGACGCAATAACCGACAACAGTAAACGTAAAAAATGCATTAGTACATTACATACAATGCCTATCTATTGTAGTGCTTACGATTTAAAACTAAAACCATCAAAAGCAATAGATAGAATAATAAATATTATCTAAAAAAAAATTAATTTATATCACATGGTAAATCTACAAGAATAATAATAATAATAATAAATTAAATGTATTACCAATATTATCTTTAATTTACGTGCTGTAAAGACAAATATAAAATAAAATATACATACCTCGTGTGTTAATTAATCACATATTTCTTTAGACTTTTCTCCTGCATAATATAATCTCCGTGAACAGCGTTTCAGGAAAAATATGTTTTATTAATTTTAATTTAATTTTAATTAATCTTTAATTTACGGGGGGGCTTGTTCACACAATACAATACATTTATTTAATTATTTAATCCAACAATCAAATTTCAAAAATTGGAGCAATCTATACTATGGCATGACAATTATAACTCATAATTTTCAAGAATTTAGTTCATATTCACTCCGTATAAAAATTACATAAGTCACACATTTTGGCCTAGTTTGGGGCTTTCAGATTTCATTGTATTTATTGAAAAATATATACAATATCTCATAACTGTTTAAAAAAAACTATATCAAATTGTAATATACCCTATTATTGATAATTTTATCTTTTGTTATATTACCAAAACGTAATAATTTTTATTCTATTACAAAATAATATAAAATATACTTATTAAACTAACAATCATAATTCTTACAAAAATAAATAGTATCGCTCCCTGGTTTTTTCATTAGAATTATTAATTTAACTCTAATCCTAACTATGTGCCTACGAATTATTATACAACTAATACTATATCAATATTATAAAAAATAATATTTCAGAAGATATTAATACTAACTATTTAATAACTCCGTTAAATATACCATTTTATATTATTATATTATTATAGTATATATGTATAGCGTTTTCAAATATAAAACCTTATAAAATCATAATTTTTCAACAAAAATTTGTTTAAAAATTAATTAAATAAATAAAACCAAAAATAAAACTTCATGATCTCTTAAGTTAAATAATAAATATTTTATATTACAATGAATTTAATTAAATATAATATTATTTGTCGTTTTGCTATGTTTTGTATATAATAATAATTAATAGTTAAAATTTTAACAAAGAGAAGCTATTATACTTAAAATGTAAGTAATTTTATGTTAAAAATGATAAATTAACTTAAAAAAGTATAAAATAGATTATTGTTTAGAAGTATAACAAAATGTATTAACTTAATGTCTAATGATTAATTTTGTATGAACGATGGATAATATTTCTATACTAGATCCTAATTAATTGTTAATATTTAATGAAGATAACTTTACATGAGGGTTCATCTAGATTGTGTTCACTGGGTATTGCAATTGGTTTTGTATTACTTGCGCTATGTGTCCTTAGCTTAACAAAATTAAAAATATTTTAAAAATAACTATATATGTTTTAAAATTGCGTCTTACTAATTAAGAAAAAACATTAACAGTTTGATCAGTAAGTCCAAAATATTTTTCTTTACTATAGTTGTACCATTGATTATATAATGTACTACGATAATATATTATATAATCAATTGTAATACCATAGTACGGAATGAAATAATATTGATAACTCTGAATTATTTTTGTTAGATGTAAATATAAAAAAAAGCATGAATAATATTTCTTATTTGTGGGTGTACTGCTTTAGGTTTACGGTATTATCATAAATAATAATATTATAATCCACACTACTAATACGAGTATTATGTTTATTATTGACAAACCAAACACAAAAAAATAAGCTTTTATGCCATGTAGAACGAATGAATCAGAATTAAGTTAACCCGTCATGTACTATTGCTTAGTTATAAGTAATATTTACTTTTTTCTATGTTGCCGTATATAACACCCTATATAATAATAACTACGATCAACACTTATGAATCATTATTGTTATATTTGTATCCACGTAACATGGTTACGGGCAATCTATACAATGCGCTTGTAATCATTCTCCCCTTCTATTACACAAGTTCGTGTCATTTTTTTATATAGTATTTTTATTTCATATACATCTCCACGCCTGGCCCTGTAGTAAATATATTTAATTACTATAGGTTAGGTCAGAGGAGGCGAACCTATAGCACAGTGGTTCTCAACCGGGGTGACACGAAATCTCCACAGGAAAAGGAAAAAAATTAGAAAAAAATTAATTTTAATAAAACCATATTATTACCACAACAGTCATGTAAATAGCATACCTTTAAGTTTACATCTTTATATTATTTAGATCCAATGAATATGTGCAGTATTGTTATTAACGCAAAATCGATGTATTATCGATTTTTTTATCGACTTAACCGGGGTGTTAGTTATTTTACAGTCGTTAGATATGTAGTATTATTATATACAAATAAAACAAATAAGTATAAAAATCTTTAAAAAATTTTCTCTTTTTTTTTTTTTTTAATTTTAAGTATAAACTTTATAATATCAATGTTTATTAAACAATGCATCTCAATAAATTGAAGGTGTTCTACTGTTTTCTTCTGTTATTATTCTTCTGTTTTTATTGTTTTTGTTATTTCAAGAATTATTCTAAAATACACAGTTAAGATTATTTATTATTTTGATGTTAGGGTGACGCGGTGTTTAATTCTAGTGGCTAAAGGTGACATGAATGAAAAAAGGATAAGAATCACTGCTATAGCACGTTTACCAAATTTTATTGGCACGCGAAAAAATTAAAATTATTAAAAACTGTAAACAAAAAAAAAATTATACTATTTATAAAATGTTGGTTGTAAGAAATTCAAATAAATAAATTATATATTTTTTCAAATGACAATATTCCTTATGCTTTCATATTTTTCGTCAACTTATGTTTCCGAAAGCTTATTCGCCATAACAAATTTAATTAAATCGAAGAGAAGAAACGTTTTGACCAATGAAACCATTTCTGCTTGTGTTTCTACTAAGAATGACTAAAATTTGTTAAAAACAATGTAATAAATCTGTAATTTTATATATGATCTTAAAAAATATAATTTTTTTCGGGCACGTGAACGATTTTCAAAACCTAAAAAGGAAAAATTTGGCATTTGAACTAAAAAAGGTTCGCCATCCCTGGGTTAGGTTATATAGTTTGTATGGACATTAGACTGTGAATATAATAAAAAATAATTTATAATAATAATATGCCCACTGGTATGTCGACTGGTAAACGACAAAACTAACTAAGCGATATTTTGGAACCGAACGACCTTACTAGATAACTGACAGGAAAGCATTCAATCACATTCAATCACAAAATCACTAGTCAAAGTGTTCTTCTGATAATTTAGTAATAAAATATTTAATGAATACATTTCGGTACAAGTGACACTAACGACTATTATGTTCACCAAGCGACAAACATAATATGGTATTTGATCCCTATTTTTATCGCTTATTTTACAATGTTGATAGTAAGAAATACATTTAAAATAATAATAATCGTTATACATACTTATAATTTTATTTTTGTCACAATATTATTCTATTCTTAACAATAATGACATTTGGCCGATAATCAAACATACGTTTATCGTTAGAGAACATTTTTAAATATTTCCAATATATTTTTTAGGATATTAATCATAATATTAAACTATTCATAAAATATAATCGACCAAATATTATTAGTAATAACATTTGGTTAGTAATAACTTATTACTGTTAAAAATTGTATAATATCGTGTTAAAATTATTTTTGTCTTTTACTAATCTGTGTACTGGATTATGATTTTAGTTGTCAATTATCTAGTACAAGCAAAACCACGAACCATATAAATGACGTAGGCATAGGTCTAGTTAAATGCTAGTGTAATAATCTTCACAAAATGTACATGCGCTATTTTGAAATGCATAATACATTTACCGTTCAAAAATATTAATTATTGTTTAATAAGAATCTTACAAAAGATTCAGCGTTTCAACTATATTGTTTTGCGATAATGATTTGTACCTAATGAAGTTCTTAATTTATGTGTGACATTTGACGACACCGTACTATAGTGGAAACTTGCGTTTTAAGACTTTGCAAAAACGGTTAATTTCTAATTTGTTCACAAATTTCAAAAATAGTGTGAATTGGTCCCAGATGTATTTTATCGAGTATATGAGTTGAGTCCAGCTTAATAGTGTGGAGGTAGGTTAAAAAGTCGTCCAAACATTTTTGTTTTTTGTTACATAAAGGTAACGGTCTGATGTAAACATTATTAAAATATTATTCGATTAATATATTTTTTTTTTTTTTAACTTGAACGTAAACAATTATTATTAGCTATCATTATTATTATTATTTATTAGCTTAATTTTACCTTACATTTTTTCTTTTTTTTATTGTTAATAGTTTATTTATAATATAATCTTAATTAGGGAAGAAATTTAAAACACATATATTTCACAAAAGTTAACCGTGTCAGTTCTCCATTAATAAAATAAACTATATTTCCTCTAAAAAATTATTCTTTTTCTTTTGTATTTATGCTAGGCTATGTTGTGGAGCTCCGAAATTAAATATAAATTTCACTCTGAATTCCAAGTAAATTTTTTAATAACGCAAAAATGTATAATGTAATACTATGTTTTCTCATAATACCACAAAAATCTTTTAAGTTAATAGAAAAATCTATGAGATTGTCTACAAAATTATTACATAATATAAATTATTCGTCTCTGTTGGTAGTTATGTTCATTGTGTTTAAATAATTGTATGTTTATTGTGTGGTTTAGGTTATTTTGAATACAGTACTTTACGAGCATAATGGATTTCATTCTTTATTAATTTCAAATTATTCGTATTTATTGTAGGTATATCATAACTTTTCTTCTCGGATCTAATGAGTTTTGAATGTCACGTACAAAAATTTTCTTTTGTTTTTCTTTTAACCGAGTTACTAAATGTTTGTCTATCAGTAATTTGCTATTAATTTTTTTGTGATTGTGTTCACAATTACATCTCTCTATTATATCTAAAGTGGATGATAATTTAAAAAAACACGCACATTTAGAAAATACTTCCAACGTTGTATATCATCAACCAACATTTTGTGGAAACGAAATATAAAACTATGCGCAATGATAACTTTTTTATCTTTTTTGCTTGATATGAAATCCATACTTCAATTTTTATACATTATTAAAATAATAAATAACAATAAAACAAACCATTATAATTATTTTATTTTATATTTTATTAAACGGACACTTCTAATATTGACACGTTACAGTCTACTAGCTACTAGCAAGTTACAATATGCTATCCGGTGATAACTATCAGGATGCGTCGTTATGCAAAAATTTGAATTGAATAATTAAGATAAAATATCACCAAGGATCCATTCAAGTATTATTAAATAACACAGCAAATCTATCCCATGTTTATTTTAAGCGATCGAATATGTCAGGACCTAACTCAAGTTTCCCCGCAAAAACAATTTTGTATTATATACTTATTACTTTAACTTTATATTAGTAAGTCATTGGTTTTTGATGAGATCTTGAGTAATAATTAACATTTATAATTAAAAAGAATGAAATTCGTGTTGTTGTATTGAATTTGATTCATAAATAATACCTAATTTCAAGGTAAAATTTTTGTTTGTTGATTGTTTTTTATAAGTTACAACAAATTTATTTATTATAAGTATAAGTATACTGAGATGAATGTATACCTTACCCCTCCCCCCACTATGTTTGCAAATGTTAAATACGTCATGCACTATGGATTGTTTCATTGACTAAACAATACTCGTTTATCTATTAGTTAGGTCATGGATAAATTATTCATTACAATTATTTTAAACTTTAAAAATTAACTTTCTTAAAGAATAATGTTATGTATATAAAACGTACAACTTTCACTTGGGGACAATACCTCATAACAATGAATGAGTCCATTTCGTTAACGTTTTCAATGTACACTGCGTAAATGTTCAAAAATGATAATTATTTTTTATGAAATGTCGACAATAGCTTATGTATAAAATATATCTAAATTATTATTACCAAATTTAATTTTAAAATTCTAAGCAAATAATGTAATGTATTTTGCATACTTAATATGTGTTATTTAACATTACGTTTACAATATTCCATGCATGGAAAATGGATGTACTACCCATAGTGAAGTCGTTTATGGGAGGGGAGACGCAACTTATGCATTTGTCATAGTCTAGAGCAGTGGTGGCCAAACTTTTTTTAACCACGAGCCATAAAAAAATGCATTTTTCAATTTTTTTTTACGTAAATGTAAAATATTACAGTTATGCAAATAAGTGTTGTAATGTAGAATACTTTCGCGGGCCAGATATTAAATTATGGTAGGCCGGAATTGGCCCACGGGCCGTAGTTTGGCCACCACTGGTCTAGAGTTTATCTATTCTAAAGTCGGCACATCATAAAAAAAAAAAATAGGTACGTCTTTTATAAAGCCATTGACATATTGTAAATTAGAAAAATGAGACATGTATTATATGGGTACTTACGTACAAAATATAAATCATTATATTTTTTAATTGGTTTGACGTCTTCGTCCTACCACGTTTATCGGCACTTAGGTAAAATGAGTCGCCGATTCAACATTTAATAAGAACATACCGATTGCCCTATTCTAGAAATAACTAAAATAATGCATACGTAATAATAAATACATAGTAAACGTATAGAATATAATTAATTTAATAGAAACAAATAACCACTAATGAGTTATAATTTTAATCTTTGATTAAAAAAAAATGATCAGTTTATAAGCACACATTTACCAATGTTCACCGAAATATTACACGTATATACCTATATATATGGCTACATCATGGCTTCAGGTTCAGGCATTTGGCTATTCTCTGGTTATGAAATTCTCACGCAACACGTCGTTATTAAGTTCATAACAACATATTATATAGATAGGTAAATTATTTTTAATTTTAGGTAGCAATTGATAAAATCCAACCGGTAAGTAGGACGGGTAAGTAGAACCATTTGAATTTATATTAAAAAAATTTAAATGTAGTACAACGTAATCCAGGATTTGATAAGAGTGGTGTTTCATATAAGTGCTTAATTTTTATTAAAATATTATAATTTACGTGTCGTAAAAAATGGTAACTGCGCAGTATTATTCGCTATACAGTAGTTATTCTGTGGTGTACTATACAAAAGTCGATGATAGCTTATACAAAATAGTAAATTTGCGTCTCAAAACGGACAAAAAAAACACGAAAATATGTATGATACACTATTTCATGAACTTCTCAAATAATTCCAAGACTAAACGGAAATAAAAAAAGTACTAAATCATTTAGTCTAAATGTAATAGTTTTTCTAGTTGACGTATACGACATAAAAATATTTTAATCTTTTTGTCTTAAATCTAATTATGGTTCATTTTTGATAATTAGAGTTTTATGACAGGAAATTTCTACATGATTATTGGTCTCGTTATCTAAATTACCTAATTGTAATATACACAAATAATCCGACAAACATTTCGTTAATCATTATTTTTTAAAACAATACGCATCGTATTGTTTTAAATTGTTTGATTATTATTGTTCATCGATTTTAGTTTACATTCGCATATAATTCATACTTTATATGATTATTTTAACAACGCATTGGTAATTAAAAATTAATTAATTTAACAGCATTTAATGTATGAATAACGTTCAATTTCGAAAATCTCTACGAAGTAAATCAATAAATGTGAATAAAATCCACTATGTTTTTATAGCGCTGACATCCCAATCTGTTTATTTCCATTTCAAGTCATTAGAGGTGTATCATAGTCACACTTCAGTAGACACATGTCACAAAACTACGAAATATGTATGAAAACAATATTTAAAATGCATTTTGAACTTTATTGTGGTATTAAGTATTATTATTAGAATATAATACAGCCACATGCCATACTACAATCGGATTTGATAAAACATTTTTCATGTATATTTTCATACTCATCCAAATTATCTATTTATCGAACTTCGTTAAATAGAAATGTCGTTAAAAAAAATACGAAATGTATACGAATAATTGCATATAATTTGTGCAATAATATCGTAAAATAATATTAATAATTATAATACTACTGTACAGACACAAAGTTTTAAATAATAAATAATAGTGCATAAGTATATTGTAAAATTGATACATTCATACAAAGGCGTACTCACGGGGGGGGGGGGGGGGCAGGGGGTTTGAACCCCCCGACCATTGGCCGTATTCTTTTTTAAATTATTCCAATAATTTGATAATTGATTATTGATTTTATTGATTATAATTTAGTGGTTTATACGTCATTAATGACCAGTATCACGATTATTAAGTTGGATTGGACGACGACCATAGAACATGTTGTATGACACGACCGCGCTATCAATTTAACAATTTTGTGACAATTTGTGATAATGCAGTTTTTTAAAAAAGTACAACATTTTTAATTATTATGACTAAGAGGGGGTACAGAGCCCCCCACTTTTGTATTCTAGTAAATTTTCAGAGCCCCCCCCCATTGAAAATTCCTGAGAACGCCACTGCATACATAAATAATTGTATTAAATGTTTTTAATCTTTTTCATCGAAGAACAATAAAAGTGTAGGAAATTATCCAAATAATTAAAAATGTACTGTTGTACAATAATAGTATTCTGAAATCCACGCCAAATAATGTCGAAACTGCTTGATGTTCTCAAAACTTTATTTTACAATACTTTTGAAAGCTCCAAATCAAAGTTATTGTATAAAATTAATAATACAAATAAAATAATAAAATAATATAAAATAAATTCGTTGTTTTTTTTTTTTTTTTTGATAAACAGAAATGTTATTTGGTAAAAATGTTACAGAAAACATGCGATTCGAAGTCCGACTGTACATATACTAATCCGTATTCTGATGACGACATCAAAGCCTTACACGTATACGTTTAAGATGGTTTTTGCACGAAAACACAAGTTTGAAAACGTTGTATTTGTTGCCACTCCCGCAGGGAACACGTTGAAACACTGGAGCCCGGTGAGGTGGTGATTAGGAAAAACACGCAACCACACCGAGGACGGTTATCAGTGCGCTTATCACGCATCGTGGCAAGAAGTTGACAAACTGCCGTCGTCACGGACCACGGTGTAGCAGGTGGTGGTGGCGGCGTGGGCAACGGGTAACGAAAACAACCCGATCGCCACTGCCGCCGTCGCTGTCACAGAGTGTTGCCAATACACATGTGACCGATCGAGGAAAACAATTTCGGGGTCCCTTGGATGGGACGCGAAGGCCGCGGACGGACTGTTGGGCCGAAGGCCCATCCGTCGCGTTCGTCGCACAATTTTCGGGGCCCGCCAACCGGCCTCACCGATTTCATGGCAGAAACGGTCGGCGATCACGTGACACCGGTCGACCAATGACTGCGCCCGGCCCGGAACAATCGTGCTCTATACGTGGCACGCATGTAGAACCCGCAGGAGAAAAAAAAATAAATAAATAAAATAAGAGAAAAAAAAAACAGTGAAATACCGGAGTCAACAAGAGTAGTACTCGTGCGCCGCCATCTTATCCGATTATCGGTTAAATATTAAATATATCCATTTATATATATATATATATATATACATACAATTTTTATAAATTTAATCGTACATACATGTATATATTCACACGTATGTAATTAATATTTGTATTTTGTGTACATATCGTTTTTGGTTTTCCTCGATAGTGTCGTTATTTTGTTTTTAACGTTATTATCAATTTTTTCCGTGGTACCGCTGACGCGCCCCGTTGTACTACGCTCGCAACACTCTCGGTCCGCCGCCGCCGCCACCACTGCCGTCTCGCCGTCGTCGTCGTTTGACCATCAACATTCATCTAAATACTTCGTCGACAAACATTCGACAATAAGTAAGTATTAGAAACGATGGCACACGTCACCTGTTTTCCTGTCTCGGTTGGCCTTTTACAGCCAAACATTTTTGGTTTTCGTCCGCTTACGCGGCCACGGATACCGACTCTCACCGGCTGTTATGCGTGCGTGGCCACTGGCCACTTCTGCGGCAGCCTAAGTTGAATCCGTCCCTTCCTCATAGTTCGCAGTCTTAGTGCCCGTCTTGCTTAGGCGCGTTTCGTAGTAGTTGGTTCTGAGAAATTAACTTACCATTACACTTTCAATTTTGTATGGTTTTGTGTATTGATGTACTATTTCTTAGTATTTTTTAGTTTGCAAGATGCCTGCTGTTTAAAACTGCCCTAAGTATCGTTCAAACTGAAGGTTTGACTAACCTTATGTTTCAGTAAACTCTCAATAAGTATGTTTGAACTTATAAACCGTTATTGCAGTTCTTAAAAACACTAGTTATGTGTTAACACTTCAAATAATTAACTCTAATCGTTAATTTTACTATTTTAATAAAATATTCAACATTTTTACACAAAATAACCATATTTTTCAATAATTATACTTGAGTTAAGCTCTTCAAATAAATATCCATTTTCAAACTATTCTAAGAATCTTACAGTTTGACTTACATGAATTTGAAAGTTAATAATATTTTAATTTCATACTGTTAGTGTTTATAATTTATAATATATTGTACACATTAAATGTGTATGCTGTAGGTAACCAATGAAATACTTAAAAGTTACTTTCTTTGTCTGATATTTATTTTATTCTCTTCTTTGTTAGATAAAAGTTTAATATACATTCTTATGTCATTTTAATGAATGATTGTTTCAATAATTTTAGAAAGTGACTTATAGGGAAAAAAATAATTCCATTTGTTGTATAAGCTTGTATAATGTTCATTCATTTGTGTTATATCAATTAAAGTAGTTGATTAAATTAACACATTATCATTAATTTTTTGATTAATGTTGTTACTTTACTTGACAATGAAAATGCTAAACCATAGATAAATATTGATTTTTTTATAATAATTTCTTTCCTTTTATAAATATCAAATATTTGATAATAATTTTAATTGATTAAAAATTATTGAAGAATAAATGTCAAAATTAATACAAATCTTATTGTTTTGTATTAGTAATTTTTTACATTTTAACAAATATATGCAACAGGTATAAATTTTGAATTTACTATACTCTTAATTTAACTACCAATTTATAAGTTAGAATACATTTTATTATATTTTTATTTTTCTACTTATTTAAAAAAATTGATTATAACCTATATTATAGTTCCTATATAATGTTTTTTTTTATTTTCATACACGTGTTATTTTTTTTTTTAAATCAAATCAGTAAACATTAAGCCCTATTTATACACATTTGATTACAAAAAATTGAACACCTTTTTAGGCAGTTAAAACTCAAACATGGTTGAATGAATATTTTATTCATATTGGAGTTATTGCTGGTTTGATTATGCTAAACTAAGCATAAGTTAACTAATTTGTTTTACTTATTGATATCATGGTTTCTAATATTTAAAATCTAAGTGTATTGAAAATAGTGATATACAAGAAATTATAAATCATTTTGTCAATCATTTATATTATAATTGATGAAAAAATTCTGAAATTCTTATACAATCTAAGACTAAGTACTTATATAGTACTAGTAGTATTCTATAAATACTTACACAATTGTAATCAACTGATTAGACATTTCGTAAGTCAATAGTTAAAATCTGAATACTAGTTATATTTTGATTTTTTCATTTATTATTTTATTTTTTGAGGTACCATTAAGTTGAAACTAAAATTTATACAAAATGTAAAATGATTGAATCAATTTATATCATCCAATAATTTAAATATTTTAGTGAATTTTATATTATATTTTAAAATTATTATTAATTTATTTTCAGGATGGGGAATGTATTTGCGAATTTGTTCAAAAATTTATTTGGCAAAAAGGAGATGAGAATACTTATGGTAGGATTAGATGCTGCTGGTAAAACGACTATCTTATACAAATTGAAATTAGGTGAAATTGTTACGACTATACCAACTATTGGTAAGTTTTCTATAAAATGTCCTGTGTATTATTATGAATTAAAATATAATTGATGTTCATAGGTTTCAATGTTGAGACTGTTGAGTACAAAAATATAAGTTTCACAGTGTGGGATGTTGGTGGACAGGACAAAATCCGACCACTCTGGAGGCATTATTTCCAAAATACACAGGCATGTATTTTAATTTAAATGAGTATATTTTGTTAGAACCAAGTATATTCAGTTAAAAATATTTTGAAAGTTAATTATTAATTTAACTTTCACTATTGTAATACCATTTTACTGAATTCTGTTAATATAAATTTTAACATTCAATGATGTACATTTTAAAATCTACAAGATTGACGTTTTCTTTTATTTGTGTTCTTAAAAATTTTTCTTATTTTAGAATAAATGTAGTTCTTTTGAATTCTGTACATAATCTTACGAATACATAACAATTGTTGTTCAATTATAAATAATTTTACCTATTTAAAATTATACCAATTTTTTAGTTTTATCGCTTAATTGTTAAATTTAATTTTTACGATATTGTGATTTTTATATGGAGTGTTAAATATCTCATTTATGATACTGATATTTATTTATTTTAATTTTGAATTTAATTTTATTTATTTTATTTTAATTTTAATTCTCTTAATCAGGCTAATATATTTTTTGATCATCTAATAATATTGTTACCTGTTCAAACAAAAAATTATGAATGATATTGAATTTTAAATTTAAGAGTTATGTTGTTATTTGAGTATATATTTTTATTTTATTTTTATAATTTCAGACTTTTAGCTTTATTTTAAAACTATTGTTAATATACTTTAATGTAAAAAATAGTTAATAGTATTTTAAAATAATCCTTTATAGATATCTAACCTACCTGTTATTAAGTATGTTTCATAATTAATTTCTGTTAAAATAGTGATTTCTATGTTAATACATTACAAGTCAAGTGTTATTGTATGTACAATTATACTCCCAAGAGTTCCTAATACAATAAGAGATGAACTATCAATAAAAAAAAATACTTCTTATTAGAAAATTATTATTATTCATAGTTCTTTTTATTTCTATTTATTTATTTATTTATTTAAATCTATGAGATTACTGGGTTTCATTCAGACAAACTCGTGTTGAGGCTAAAAACTATTGTAATAATTCCAGTTAATTAACGTATTAATCAACTTATTATATTTGTTATTGGCTTTTTTTTTTTTATAGATTTAGTAGTATAAATTTCATTGCTTTAACAATATGATTTTTAAAAGAATATTAACTTTTGAACTTATAATAGTTGTTGATTAATGTATGTTTTTAAATAAATTTTTATGTTTTATATATTGTGCAGGGTTTGATTTTTGTAGTAGACAGTAATGATAAAGAACGTATTTTTGAAGCTAAAGAAGAGTTAATGAGAATGCTTGGCGAAGATGAGCTTAGAGACGCTGTATTGTTAATATTCGCTAACAAACAAGTAAATATATTATTAATAAAAAGAAGAATGCTTAATGTGGTTATTTTTTATATATAAATTATTTTAAATGTCATATTTTAGGATTTGCCTAATGCTATGAACGCATCTGAAATAACGGATAAATTAAGCTTGCATACGCTGCGTAACCGTAATTGGTATATTCAAGCAACGTGCGCAACTAGTGGTGATGGTTTATATGAAGGTCTTGACTGGCTGTCAAATCAATTGAAAAATGCCAACCGTTAACCGACTCCAGACTACATTATTATTATTATAAATATTTAAATTAAAAAAAAAATAATAATAAAAACTATTTGTAATTCATGAAAACAAACTTAAGCATATATAGCAGACTAAAAACATTTTTTTACTCGCCAGCAAAATTAATATTGTCAAATGAGTTCTCCCAGTTAAACTATTAGTCCAGAGTTGTAATCAACCTCTTAATATGTTTTATCATTAAGTTAAATGATCAAAACTATTTTAACAAACTGTTTGACAATTTTTAATTTTCAAAAAAATAAAAATTTATGAGTATAATTACTATTGTATCTTTCCTCTAAGCAAAATATTTTATAATTGTATTTAAATATATAATTGTCTGAATTTTGTAATGCAGAAAAAACAATTGTTATGTTGATTTCCACACATTATTATTATTTTAGCTTTATTTTGGAATTTTATTTTTAGCTTAAACACAATTTTTTTTTTTTTTTTAGTGTATACATTTTTTTTTTATATTAAAGTTATATACCCAAATCCGCTATATAAAAATAAATATGTATAATTTTTTTCTTTATAAGTTATACAAAAGCTGAATTTTTTTGTAAATAAAATTTACTATTTATATTACTATTTAAAGTTTAAATAACACATATGAATTCTGTTTTATGACTACGGTATATTTTGCCCTTTCCGCCTGGTTTTAATTGTATATAATTAATACGAGTTACTTTTTAAAGTACATGATAACATTAATTTTAAATGCGGCCAAGTTAAAACAATTTATTTATTACTGGGCTCTACAGTTTACATCTAATGATAAGTTAAGCATTAGTGTGATCCATTATTCAACATTCCATTGACATACATTTAATCCTATTGATGAAAGCTATTTTTACTTAGAATTTCATTACCTATTCATGTTTGGTATTTGTGTCTTTAGTTTCATATTACTCAATTGACTGGTTATTTTATTTCTCTGAATTTCTATAAAGACAATGAGTTGAATATCATGTTTGTTGTTGTAGAGTTACTATTAATATATTAATATTACTTTTTATTATTCTTAACTGAACTTAACTCTTGTTATTGGTTATTGTATTGACCCTGATTTGTGAAGAAATTTTAATATTTTAATGTATTTCTACTATCAATTTTTAAATATATGTAAATATATAATTTTTTTTTAATATTGAATCTTTTCATTTAATTACAATAAAAATATATTTGAGTAACAATTTCAAATCTTATAACTTATGTCACAAGTATGTGTACCAAGTTTTATATTGTAATTTTTACCCATATCACAACTATTGTTTGTTTCTTCATTAAAACATTTAAATTGGAGTATTGCTTGAATTGACAAAACTTATTTAGATACCTTACTACAAATATTTATACGCATTAATATCCATAGTCAAAAAATATGAACTGATTTTTACACAATATTATAGTGATGGAAAGTTAAATTAATTATATAATCTATAACATAATATGTTATAAATATGAATTATTATTACACAAATATAAGATGGGAGTAAAATCTTCTAAACCAAGAATGGTGAACCTATAAGTTGCATATAGTTACAGGCCTACATTTAAACACCTGTTGCATTTCAACTTCTTTATATAAATGAAAATAATGCAATATCATATAACTATACTCGTTTATAAGTAAACAATGTACAGTTTTAATCAAGGGTTGGCAACTGGCGGACCGCGGAAGGCAATACTCTGGACTAGGGGTCGTAATTATACAAGGTTATTATAGTACACGTGTATTAAATCTATTAATATCCGTGTTTTCAATACACGGGTATTTTTTACTGATACACGTGTATTTAATACCCGTTACCCGTTTACTTAATACCATTTCGTATGTATAACCCGATAAATAAATATCAGACAACCTATTTAGTTATTAATTCAGGGTAATTAAAGGTATATTATATAATTATTCAAATATTGGTATGAATCTTATTTGGCTTTCACAGAAATTGGCAATTTTTTTTAAACTTAGTGGATATTTCACTCTAATAAAAATGATTTTAACATGAATACTTTATTATACCTACTTATAATTACTTAATATTTTGACTTATTCTATCATAATTTATATAAAATGTTTTCTATATATGCCATCGCTCCGGCGCATACGAATTGGGTCCATAAATGATATTTTGTCCGAGTTGCGTCCGCGGTTTTCTCGGGCCATGGGTTTTTCAGCAACTGTGAATATTGTTTGGTGATAAACTCGTAGATAATCTCGATTATCATCGATATCTTATCTGTAAATACCATCTTAAAATTTATTGTTGGAAATTCATTTTGTTCATGTTAGCATTAGTCCTCGCTTCGTAATCCATTACATGTTGCACCTAATATAATTTATGCAGACTTCGAACAAGCAATACACTCAGCCACTTATTAGATTCAAAATCGCCTGGAATGATCTGGACGTATTCAAATATTTAAATTCAGTTATAAGACTTAAATTTCTTAAGAAAAATCGTAGAAAATAAATTTTGTATTGGTTATTATTTATTGCTAGTTTCTAACCATCCCCCGAACCATGTATGCACAACAAATTATTTATAGACTCACTTTATGCTAATCCCAAAGTGAGTCTTATAAGCAGCGTCCACTATATATATACAAGTATATAATAATTTCAAAATCTTATATCTTTCATTATTTAGAAATATAATAACTAAATGTTATGAGTGTTATGACTTAGGTTCAAATTATGTAATTCATTAAAATTCTACGTTATCGTTATTTGTAATATTATATTAAATACGATAACTAACAAACCCAAAGTTGTTTTATAGCCATCTTCACGGCTTTGATAAATTATAGAATTATTTTGTCAATTTGAAGAATATTTTATACTGTGACGTCCACTGTTTTACGCGACGCATTGTAGTTTTAATATTTTGGTTTGAATGATGAGTTATCAACCAAAAAGTTGGGTGTGGCAATATGGTAAACGTCAAGGTAATAGGGCTATTTGTAATTTATGTGATGATAATTCAAATAAAGAGTTTAGTTGTGCTGGTGGATTAACAGGATCATTCGGCAGACATTTAAAAGTAATATATAACATATATTTATAAATAATAATAAAATTTATACTACAATTGCTATAAAGAAATTTAATATTTAATAATAGAGAAATCTCAATTATTACAATACAAAAACATGGAGAATAAAATACACGGGTAATGTCGGGTATTTATATACACAGATAATGACGGTTATTTAGCTACACTGGTAATGCGGGTGAACGGGTATTTACAAATACACCTGTACCGTGTAATTCATTACACGTATAATGGCGAGCACTACTCTGGACCCTGTCAATTTTTATTTTCATACTCCTAATATTGTAGTTTTTAATATAAATTAATTGCAATAACCAAATAATAATTTTTATTTTTATACTATTTTTAAAGTATAAAGATTTGAAAGATTTTTTTCACTGGACCTCATTGATTTATTATTTTAATTTTTAGGACTCCAATATAAATTACTAACCGACCCCTGGTTTAAATACATCTGTAAATAGTTGATTTAAAATGCACATATTTTAAAATTAGTTCGTACTCACATGAAAAAATATTTAATTTTCTTTTCAACAAGTAGATATTAAAATATTTGACATCTCTGCCCTGAATCTTTCTGCATCCAGTGATTTAACTTAAAGACCATATAAAATTAAATTTCTTAGAAGTCGGTAGAATAATAAAAGAAGTCTATACAAATGGAAGAAATATATCAACATTTTACATCATCACAGATTTGCAGTCCTTAAATTTCATCAGTTTGCAGTTCTCACATTTTATAAATAACAATATCATAGATCTATTAATATGTCTAAGGACAATAGAAAATCAATATGTACACAAATATTTATGAATTTAATAATAAACAGTTGAACAATAACTTGCAGTAGAATGATATTGCATTAAAAGCTTTTTTCTTCTATGTACATTTCATCTGTATGTAAAAACAATATTTATTGGTTGCTTTTTAATTGTATTAATTTGTTTATTTTATCAAGATTAACAGCTGACATATAAAATTAACTTAAAAAATAAAAAATAAGAAATATTTTGTTTATTAGTTGTACTACTTATATTATTTAACATAATTATTTTTTCCTCATTTGATATATGGTAAAATTTAAATAACCGTTGCATACATAGAAGAAAAAAAAAGTTCCAACACGGTATATAATATAAATTCAAATTATTTCCAAAGCTTTTTGATTGACATATTCTTTTCGGAATCTTTTTGCATTACTTTAGCTACAGCCATTTCAAAATCGTCCTGTGTTACATGTACACGCCTTTCACGTAAAGCGTACATTCCAGCTTCTGTGCATACACCCTATAGTATTGACATTTTAAATTAGGAATAGTTAAATTTAACAGTTTTACACAAATAAGACACATCTGTTATGTATTTGAAACCATTACCTTAACTTCAGCTCCAGAAGCACCAGGCATGAGCTCAGCAATTTTCTTCAGGTTTATACCTCTTGTCAGATTCATTTTTCTTGAATGTATACGTAAAATATCCCAACGAGCTTCTTCATTTGGGGGAGGGAATTCAATTTTACGATCAATACGTCCAGGTCGCAACAGGGCGGTATCCAAAATATCTATACGGTTGGTTGCCATGATAACCTAAAAATCCGTTGTCAGTTTATCATACATGCTTATGTGTGTTGGCAATGAATACCTTTATGTTCTTAGTCGCTTCAAAACCATCGAGCTGGTTGAGCAACTCCAACATAGTTCTTTGCACCTCAGAATCTCCACCACTACCAGATTCTATACGTGATGACCCAATAGAATCAATTTCATCCATAAAAATAATGCTAGGAGCATGTTCTCTAAAGAAATAAATGAATTATGTTAATAAAATTAAATAATATAATAAATAATAATCATACCTTGCCATAACAAAGAGTTCTCTGACCATTCTTGAACCTTCACCAATAAACTTTTGAACAAGCTCAGAACCAGAGACTCTGATAAATGTGCATTCTGTATGGTGAGCAACAGCTCTAGCAAGTAAAGTCTTACCTGTTAAAAGTGAAAATTTTTAAAACTAATATTTATAATATTTCAAATTGAGTTTGTTTACCAGTTCCAGGAGGTCCATACAATAGTACACCTTTTGGTTGGGCAATACCAAGAGCATCAAATAATTCAGGATGTTTCACAGGCAATTCTATGACTTCTTTAATTTCTTTTATTTGGGTATCCAATCCACCAACCATTTCATAAGTGGAATCAGGTACTTTTTCAACCATCATAAGAGAAACTAAAGGATCTACCTAATATACGAAATAATGTTTAATGGACATTTTTAAAATCAAATAAAAAATAAACTTTAACAAACTTTGTTAGGGAGTATTTTATGTAGAGTATAACTTTCGTTGCGTAATGCTACACGACAATTTGGAGTTACATCATTAATATCGATATTTTTATCAATATCTACAACAAACTTTCCTTCTGGGTGCACTTTGACAAGCACTTTCTTTTTATCCATTGGTTTCACTACTTCACCAACATATGAACCTTGTTCTTGAAGCAATTGTAATTCTTCTCTCAACAATCTCACTGTAAAGAAATAATAAAAATATTAATTGTAAATAATTGTAGTTTTCAATAGTATTTATAGTTTTTATAATAATTGTTTTTCATAAAAGTTTTAAAAATACAAAATATAGTAGTTAAAATATCCTAATTCGAGTTAATTTTTTCATTAGAAACCAAATGTAGTAAGCAATATAATTTTCTAACTATAAAACCTATAAGTACCTTTAGCATTAAGTTCATTCCTCTGGGCTTGCAGACGTCTGAGATTCATACTTTTTTCTGCAACAACCAATAACAGTTCTTCGATTTTGGTTGTATAATATGATTTAAATCCATCTCCTCGAGGTGTACTATTTTGGTCCACCTCCATGAACTAAGAAATATTTAAAAATATAAAATAATTATTAAAAGTTGTTTTAATAAACAAAGGTCAAATAAATATAATTTAACACCTACTAACTAAAAGATATTTACAATAATACATAATATTTCATCAAAAGTTTAAAGATAAAAATAAAAATGAATTTGGAGAACAATTATTAATGTAAACAATTTTGAAATTTTTACATTTAACAAATGTTCATAACATTTTAGAAAAACATTAAAATTTGATTATAATATCCTGCAGCCAAAATTATAGTTTCAGTTATTACTAAGAATTAGGTATAGAAAATATATCAGATTAAATTATCAGAAAAATTTAAGATGGTTTTCGAAGATTGTATATGTACTGTAAAATAGCAATAATAAAAAAGAAGTTAAAAAACCAATGACTACCTAATAAATTATTTCTCAACAAAGGTTTTTAATCCAATAATAATGTATATATAAAATATGTACTTGGACGATACAAAACATAGTTTAAATAAATTGATTCTTACCTCAGGAGGATTTGGCGTCATATTTGCGCGTCAAGTTAACAATAATTATATTATTTTAAAAATATTAAATACCAAGTTCACAAAGCCACTTTCAACAATATATGCTTTTCGACAAAACTTACTTGTAATGGTTCGATATCAATTCTCGTATAATCATAGTCGACCAAATGGTTTTTGTTTTCCGTATGTTTTTCTTCCATGAATTAAACATGATTGTTTAGCGCCAAATTTTTAAATAAAATGAGAATATTCCTTATCAAAGAATCCAAACAGTAGCACCAATTTTTACCAATACCCAAGGCCGTAGCTAGAAATTTCATCGCAGGGCAATCAATTATCAAAAAATGTAAAGTATATTATTTTAAGTGGATTTTTGTATTTTTTCGCGTGTCAAATTTATTTTTATTTTATTTTATGATTTATAACTATAATTTACAAAGTAAATATTAAAAAATATTAAAAAAACTCTGTCAATATATAGTAAATGATCATTTAAATACTTAGAATAATTTTAATTGGAAATTTTGAATAAAAACCACATTTAGGTTTAGTACGTTTACGATCGTATTACAAAAACAAATGAGTATAATCGAAATACTTATTTGAATAAATTAAAATTAGAAGGTACACGAGGAGTAGAAATACATGGACAGAAATCTATTGAAGAAGTTGGGGGCTACGATATTATTATTTTTTTTTAATAGTATATATGAAACTCCACATTTAGTATACCACGTTCACAGATACTTTTTCAAATTATTCTTATTCCTATCTTAGAAAATCATTTTTGTGTTACTATTATAGCGATAACATTTTGCCCTGTTTTACAATTTATTTTTTAAATTATTAGTCAGTTATATCAGTAACAATATACAAATAATTACAAAACTGTTTATTAGTAAATATTAATGATAATTATAAATTTAACAATTTCAATAAATTACTGCCATGACAGTAACTAATCGTGAACATGATACTTTTGCAATCATTTTTAGGGGGGTTGGTAGGATTTTGGAGTGCTAAGGCACCCATTATCCTCCAATTTACACATAAAAGTATAAGTTTTGTTAAATAATTTGTTAAGAATCGTACTTGAACAGAGATAAAAATATGTGCAAGTGAATACAGTATGAAGAACACAATTAGTATAAGGAAAAATAAGATAGGTAGTTTTGATTTCGATAAAACATTATTAACACAAGTTTAAAACTATTCTTACTGGTTTTAATCACTCCTACTACCATATGCACGAATAGGAAATTTCAATTGGGGGAGGGGCTTCAGTCTTACCATTTTTTAACCAAAAGTTGAGATTTTGTCCCCATACCTTTAAATGATCCGAAATAATTATTAACATTTTATTACTAGTTATAATCACTAGCAGCTGTAATATTGCAAGATTAGTTAAAAAAAAAAAAAGAATAAATAAATAAACTATTAATATTATTTCCGATAATTGTAATAGGTTTATAGTTTATGAGTAAATTGTACAAAACATTCAAACTCTGTGAACAATTTTTATAAAATACGAGTATACACTTGGTTTTTTTTTCAAAACATTTTTATGTATTATACACCTATTGCGTAGGTCATATTTGAATAATTTTTTCTTTACAAAAATTACATTAATACGATGATAAATCTAGGGGGTTGTATTAAAATTAGGGGGCTTAGCTCCCGAAGTCCCATCTTATTTGCGCCTATGCCTACTACCCAAATGAATCGGGAGGATAGATTCGTCACTATGGAATGTTATAAAGTCATGTTGTGGTACTGAATATTAACTAAATGTCAAACCGAAATTAGTGTGATAAGGTCAAGTCCCGGTACTGTATTAGTGTATTTTGATATTGAACACTATTAAACTGCATGTTGTGCGTTTAGATTCAAAACTTGCTACTTCATAACTGTACAGTACACGCTTAGTTATAATCAATAACACGATGACATGTTTAATTTTCGTCGACTAATTATTGCTCGATGCTCTCTCCGCTATTATTAAAATATTAATATTGTACACGTGCACGGGGATACTACGTCGGCGTTTGGCAACACCTCGGGTGTAAACACCTAACTTACGTTATTGTTAAAAAATGTATAATAATACCGCTGGCTGTTGTGTGTTCGTGATTTTTTAATTAATTTTAATAACAGTCGGACAGGTAAGTTCGTTATTGTTTCACACGACAGCGAAGGTTACAGGCCGAAAAATTGAATGTTGTTATAATGAATGCACACCATAATAATTAACAAGTAGGTAGGTAGTATGTTATATTTTTTTATTTTTTATTTTAACGTGATATAAATATTGCCACAAAACGATATTTGTGTAATTGCAAAAAAAAAAAACAGTTGCGCAGCCGGACAAATATTTTGGGAGTTTTCTAAATTTTAAATTCTCTCCTACATAAGTACCAACATTTAAATTTTAATAAGTCGATTATTAAAATTAAGTTAAAATAAAAAAAATTGTTATTATTTAGTTTATTAAAATTGTGAAATTGTTTAATGATGATATTATTTAACATTATACCTGTCTTAAAATCTTTGTATGTTACACAAAATAAGAGACATTTCGGGAGAAAGGAGTCATATCCCGTTAACTGACCCCCCTCCCTCCCCCCGGGCACCGGCACTGCCACGAAATATTGTAATAAGTGTTACACTATTGCCCACGAATTCTCATGGAATAAAACTGATCGGTGTCTTCTCCCCCAGACGTGTTAACCGTGGACTAAAAAGACAAAAACAAAGTACTGTGATAAAGTCAAATATTTTATGTTTTTCAATACGAAGAACAATTACCATTTTTGTTCAACATAGTTTCTTTTTAATTTTTTATATTTTAAAAGTTTATTATTTTAGTGTTTTATTACTCGTTTTAAGAAAAACCATCATGGAAACCTACGAAAGCATATTGTTGGTGAAAAACGAAGTGTTCGTTTTCAAAATACCACCCAGAACCACCAATAGAGGATACAGGTGAATAATTTAATTTTAATTGAGAAATACAATAATAGGAATCAAAAAACAAATAAAGGGTACCAATTCAATCGGTCCAACCAGTACTTGTTGATCAATGAATTATTACATTTTTAAATCATTTTTGCAGGGCAGCTGATTGGAATTTAGCTGAACCAACATGGACGGGTCGTATGCGAATCGTAAGCGTGGGTGATGCATGTACTCTTAAACTTGAAGATCGTAACAATGGCGAACTATTTGCTAAATGTCCTATTGACCAGTACCCAGGTCTTGCCATAGAGTCTGTATCTGACTCGTCTAGATATTTTGTTGTACGCATCCAAGATGAAAATGGTAGGTGATTTTTGACCTATTTTAAATAGTTGATATAATAATCTTAATATTATTAGGTCGAGCTGCATTTATCGGTCTTGGATTTGGAGATCGTTCTGATAGTTTTGATTTAAATGTTGCCTTACAAGATCATTTTAAAAGAATTAAAGTATGTGAAGAAATTGCTAAGGAAAAAAATGAGCCCAAACAAGAATTAGATCTGAAATTCAAAGAAGGTGAAACAATTAAAATTAATATGAAAATCACTGTAAGTATATATATATAAATAGTTAATATATAGAAATAAATAACTAAATAAAAAAATAAATATAAGGTTAGTCTGGAGTATTATTATATTTGTAAAGTACGACGGGTTTGGAATTAAAAATTCATTGTCAGGTATATACAAAGTCAATAAAATCGCGACTAAGCATGACAAAATAAAGGATGGAATACTTTGATTATTATATTTTATTATTATCTAAAATATATTTATGTAAGATATTATTTTTAAAATTGGTTTTTACATTTAAAATATTAAAATTATTTTCCTTATTTTATTGTGTATGTGTAACTTTTCTATAACTGAATTAATGTAAATGTTTTTTTGTGTTTAATATTACTAAGTCTACATTAATATCAAAATGTATGTTATGGTTATTTTCTAAAACATGTTAAGCAACATTTGAAATAGGGCAGTCTTTTAATTTTTTAAATTTCAGAAATGTGTTCTTAAATATTTAGAAGTATTAATCATTTAATAATTTTTCATTTTTATTCTATTATTTATTCATGTATATAAATATTTATAAAATTTTTTTCTATATTTGAATTGTTATAAATACTTAAGTTTTTTAATTTTTTTGTTTTTTTTTTTTGAAAAAAAAAAGATGGCAGCGAAGGAATTAATAAGCAAGCTAAACCTCGACCAATATCTACAGGCAGTGGGGGGCTATTGCCACCTCCTCCAGGTTCATCTGGTACAAAAACCATTCCAGCACCGCCTTCCCAAACATCTTCTCCTTCACATCAACCTACAAATTCAAATAACTGGGGTGAATTTACTTCAGCAAATAATAATTCTCAATCCGGCGGAAATTCTAATCCTAATTGGGTGCAATTTTAAAACTAATATTTTTTACCAGTTACTCAAATATTGGATTTTATTATTATTTTATAACTACATTTTTTGTTATATTATAATTTATTTATTATTATAATTGTTTATTTGTTCCATAAATATTCAAACATTGTTATACTGAGTTATATGTATTAGATTATTTGACCAAACATTATATTTAGCTAATCTACATCCTATTATGTTTTTACTAAAACTGTCAAGTTTATTATATAAATAATCAACGTGTAATTATTTGTTTACCTATATTAATATTTAAATACAAATATTTTGTTGTGTAGCTAAAATTTATAGAAGCATTTTAATATATATATAAAAACATTTAAACTGATTTCGTTTTTAATAGTTGAAACTATTATTTTAATATAAATGAAATGTTATCTCCTTATTTTATATTGTCATTCATTTTTTTAATTTAATTTAATTTATTTATTCGCATACATGAATATGTTATTATTATTATTTATAACAAAAGCAGTATTTTAATTTTTGATAATTACCTTATTGATATTTATTATATTGACTATATATATAATAATTACAAATTTGATAAATTGTTTTTTATTGAATCCTAGTAATTGTATTGTATAAATGATAAGTCATTTAATATATCTCCGTTATTTAATTTTAATAGATACATCAAAATGATTTATACATATATTTATTCTCTTATTATTGTATTCATTTTAATCCTAAAAATAATCTATTGTCATATAATTTATGTCTTCTTATTTATTACTGCAACTTCAAATATTTAAAATAAATTTTTGCCAAAATTTCTGTGTGATATATTTAAAACGTGGATTATATAACCTTTAAAAAATAATTAGGTATTAGAATTAATAGGTAACAAAATTAAACGATCTTAGATAATATCAATAAAAAAACAACTTAATATTTATTCTTACAAGTTTCAACTGTCATGCAGTAGTATTTATTATTGTAATAAGTTGTTGGGTTGACTGTATAAATATACATTAATTTTTCATGTATGCTATAAAAAAAAAAAATAAAAAGACTTTAATAAGTTAAGAATGATTTCATATTTTTTATTTAATTAATGTTACACAATTTTTTATTAAAATACTTTGCTTTTATTTTAGTTTTGTTTAATACAATAAATGTGTTAAGTCTTCTATTAAAGTAATATAGTAAAAACAATAAATATGAAATATATATGTTATGTATAATAAATTCTTATTTAGTAACAAATGTAATTTGTAAGTCTATTAAATGTTTACTTATGTATTATTACTATCTATCTCATTATGTATAGTGAGGATTTAATTACTTGTTTCCATAAGTTGTATAATTAGACCTATTGAATTAACTGGCTAAATACACAACGTTATATCTGTGTGTGTTAGGAATTATTTTTAAATTAATTATTGTTTGTAATTTTATCATAATATTAAAAAAATAATGAAGCTTTGAATATTATTGGGTTAATTGTTATCAATTTATTATTAATATGTAATGAAAAGAACTCAGAATTTAAATGCAAATGTGCACATACATTTATATGAAAACTAGTTTATACATTACAAAACAAATTGTTAGTATTCTCCAGGTTAGGTTGTTTATTTTATTCTTACATTTTATGAATCTTTTTATTTTTAATTGTAATTTTTTTTTTTCATATGATGTATATTTTTTAATACAGAATTGTCACCAGTGATTTTCTATCTTTTTTTTTTTCATTTTCATATACAAGTATAAGTTAAATTTAACCCGTAATATGAAAAACCATGAATATGGTCTGCTAAATCTGTTTTGGTACTTGTTTATTTTTTAAATATACCTTTTAATTTCATTTCAACGTGTGCCTACAAATATGTTTTATTACTGTACGGTCTGTTTTACATTACAAGTATTATTTAATTAGTTGTTATTTATTTCTAAGCGTCCCTAGCAATAATTTATTATGTCATTTAAATTGTATTATTTGTATATCATTCCGAATGTAGAAATATTGAAGCGAGTATTATAATATAGTAGCGAATGATAGTATTGTGTTTATATTACCTACTCACGTTGGAGAACTGCTGTTTGAATGACTACAGTTGCGCACTGTAACTTTTGTGTTATAATGTTTTGATTTTCATTCAATGAAATTCACTGTATACCAATGTGATGTTATTTAGGTTGTAAATTTGAAATTATATATATATACGTAACGAAATAAAACTTCTACTAAAATAATAATAACTGGTTCAATTGTTTTATTTTATTTATTAATCATTTTTACACATGTACAGGGGGAAAATAAATCTTATTACAATAATGTGTAATAATATTATATAGTAGACACTATTATCTCGGAGGGAACGATACGCGGTACCGAACGAATGCCGGACGTCTAATGTACACGATACAACAATAGAAATAGTGTTTGATAACAAAAAAATAAAGCCGATGGGACGGAAAAGATCGCCCGAAGTGGGGCTCTACCGCGTTTCACCAGGGCCTCCACATGGGCTTCGGAGGAGTGTCCTGGAACTGGGTGGTGTGATGACTGCGGGATTCGTCGCGCGTCCCCCGAACCATTGCTGCAGCCGCGGTGATGCCGGGTATCTGTTGCTCGTCCTCCACGACGTAGTCGTCCTCGGACGAAGAGCAGGACGTAAGGTTTGTGGACGCCGTCGCGAGGTTCATTGATTCGTCGGAGGATGACGTGGACGACAAACGGTTCTTGGGAGGAGGTGACGGCCGGGGCAGCGCGTCCAACCGCTGTACGCACGCCTCGAGGTGCTCGACCATGCGCCTACCCGACTGCTGTCGCCGTTCGTCCGTCCACTGTTCCGCCAAAAGCTCTTGGACCTGTTCCACGCACTGCTTGTATCCGGCCAGGTACACGTCTGGCTTGGACGGCGGCGGTGGCGACGTGGACCGCTGCTGAGGCTGCGCACTACTCGTGCTCCGCTTCAAGTACCTGACCGTCATCTCCAGGATGTCTGCTTTTTCCAGTTTGTTCACCCTGGACAGATCTTGTCCGGCCTGCAGGAATAAGGATACAAATAAACGGCGTTATTAAAAACATCACCGAACGAGATCCGAGCAAGTTACGTAGTGACTTTTTTCTTTCCTAACACGAATAAAGCTTACAATATTCAGAATAATTTAATTTTCCCATCAACGCACATGTTTTTATATTATTTTGAAAACGGTTTCTATCTTGATAATTTAGATAATACAATAAATCGATAGGCTTACTATTTTGAGGTAAAACAATAAATATATAATATATGCGTTTATAAGTGATGAAAAAATTCCGGTTTTTCCAAAGTTTGAAAATCTGGATTATTGGATTTCGAAATCCGAAATTTGAATTTTACGCTAAAATCGAATTTTGGAGTTTTAAAACAGGATTTTATTCTAAATTGGGATTTCGGATTATACAAAATTGAATTACTATTATAGTATTGCGTAACTGTAATTGTAATATATTGTAATAAATTTATATTTTAATTAGAATAGAGAATCCCACAATTTTAAACCCAAAATTCGGATATTTAATTCTGTAAGTTCGATATATGCATTTCATAGTCAAAAATCCGGATTTAGTAGCTTAACATCCATAATCCGGATATTTCGAGTTTTTGGTTAATCTGGATTTATGTTACATCACTAATATATATATATATATGTGTTATTGATTCGAAACTAATTTTTTTTTTTTTTTGAGACGTCCCAGATGTTTATAAACGTATTAAAAACAAACTCAGATAAAAATGTTTTAGTTATTAAGAGAAATGACCGTTTGTTATTACCGGCTTTTGGTAATATATTATATATTATATATCTTTAGAAATTATAAAAGTTGGTTGACATAACAATGCTGTGCCTTAATTTTTTTGTGTCACTTCCGACATATTATTTAAAAAATACGGAGTTATTTCTGTACGATGAATAGATATTTTTGACACATCAGCTGATGACAATGTAAAAAAGGTTATTTATTTAAATTTTCGTTGTACACGAAGTGCTCAGATTTAATAAAGGAATACAGTGGTAAGTTTTATTTTCTTTTACTTTGAAACTAACTTATAATTAGTTAAGCGTATATTTTACTCACGAGTTTTTCAGCGTCTATGACGATGCGTTTGAGTTCGTCCAAACTTTGATTGATTCTTGCACGTCGCTTTTTCTCCATCAACGGCTTTCGTATCTATACGCACGAATCAGATATTAAAAAAAAAATAATTGACTTAGTCTCCTTTCGTGGGAATAATTTTTTATAATGAATTTCAATAGAAAATAAAATAAAAAACGGTTCGCATACCTTTCGGGGTTCAATATGTTTTCCGGTTCTCTTGTGCAATTGCGAAGATGAGGTTGAAGATATTTCATCCATGTCATCGATATCTGAATTCGTCGTTTGGCACATTTCACGAATCGTCTATAAAACGCCAAAACGAAGATCAATAAATAAAAATGTGTGTAAAGTGTTAAAAAAAAAATAAAAAAAATATCCAAATTAAATAAATCCATCGTTGTAACACGTGCAGCACAATATTTGAAATACTTTCCTCGTCACAACAACAATAGTAATAATAATAATAATAACTACTCACCGAAATTGTATAAGCCTTTCGTACAATCACGGGCTATACGGATTCAATGTAGTCGTATATTATGGTGTCATGTTTTGGTAGAAAAAAAAAAAAAAACTATAAAATTACAATAGCAGTCACACCCCGGACGAGTGATGTTGCGTACCATGTGCGTGTACTGTTACGATAAACTGGAAAAAAACGTAAACTCTACGTGCGTCCAAAATAATAACACTGTAACTACGCGCGGTGCTCGTCGGAGGACACGACGTCGCTGCCAAGATCGCGGACAAGTACTGAGACACACGACGACTGCGGTGGTAGTGCGACACGACCGGTCGACCGACCCTTAAGAACCGCTGCTGCTGCCGTGCGCGCCGCAAACACGCCGTGACACCGAATACAACGGCCGTCTTATTGTGTTACGTGCGTTTGTGTGCCGCCCGCGAGTATATGTGTATGTGCGCGCGCGTTTCCTTCTTCTTTATTCGGAGACGGCGGCAAAGAAAACACTAAATACGCTTCGGGATGCGTTCAAAACATGTATATAGGTGTGTATACCGCGCGTATACCTTATTACCGCGTACGTGTGCGTGTGCGCGCACGACGGGGTTGTGGTACGTGTTAGCGTGTGTGCGAGGTGTCCGGTCGCGCAGGAGTGACGGGGGAGAAGGACAATTGGCTGTAAGACACCACCTACAAAGCCACGTCGGTGTGTGTTTGTGCGCGTTACGGCGTGTACGCCGACAAAGATTATTAACCCTTTCCACGAGTGTTTTGACTTTGTGATGTACGTACGGGCAGGAGGACCGTATGGTGACCAGGCTAAGAAATGTATACGAACGGTTAACTATCGTACTACGTAATTTTGTTTTATTTTATTCTAATAATAAAAAAGGATGGAATCCAATTATTATTACAAAGAGTAACAATCTTTGTCCTCATTACATTACGATTGATTAACATAAAAAAAGTTTCGTCTACATCTTTAGAACGAGGGAGACGGACCAAATGGTGGCGAGATAAGAATCCTGTTAACAGCTTAACTTACGCAGCGAAGTGGTGAGAATTCAAATTATTAATCATCACGAATTGTTCCATGGTTCGTGTACTCGCTGTAGCAATTTACTACACGTGTACGAAGATTCAATCTCGACTAAAAATACACCAGCAGAGTAGAAATATTACATTGTATAGTTATATACATATATATTCTATATTATTGTCATTGCGTTTTTCTTTCGATCAACGAACCTAAATAGTATTAAAATTGTATACATGTAGATTACGTATTATGAATTAGATAAATATGATCTACTACAATATTTACTAAATATATTATACTCTATTTAACCGTTCTAATTTCTGCGATAGCAGCGAAGACATTGGCCCAGTGTATAAATATAATATTTATGTATAATACTTATGTTTAAATACATATGTATGTTTAAGTAGTATGTAGTAAGTAGTATGTATAGGTACGAAAAGCCCCGTACTAGTCCACCGGGCAACCGTGCAGATGCACGACGCACCCATGAAAATTACGATGCATGATGCATTAATTACACTAACCTAATCATAAAAATTACCTCTACATTAAGATTTTGGAAAGATATCCATTGTTTCTCATTAACAAGTAATAACCCCATGGTCTTCAGTAATACGTCATTGAAAAACGTTTATATTTTTGTGAAGATAAGCGTTAAATTTAAATTATGATTCTTTGATATGTAATCTATTAGGCCATAGGTAACGTGAAGGATTAAATAACAAAATTAAGGCGCCCTTAAGTATTTTCGTAATCGCCGCATAAAAGCAGTCAGTACGAGTCTGAATACGACAAATGACGCGTGTCATTCGTCTCCTAGATCAAGAGTTTCCAACCCGTGGTACGCGGAAAGCTCGTAGATGGTGCGCGAAGAAATGTTTTGGTATAATTATTTTTATTATTATTTGCACTCAATATTATTTAGTTTAATTTATTTGATATTATCTAATTTTATAAATATCGATGACATTGGATTTTTAATCGTAGCAATTTATTTTTATTATTTTTATTGATTGTTTGATGGTATTCGATAATAAAAAGGTTGGGAACCCCTGTCCTAGACCAATGTTTCTCAACTTTTTTATTGTAGCGACTCCATGTATTTTTTTTTATATACTCACATAAATTATTATTAATCACTAATACTATAAGTACTATACAGTATACATACAAAACATAAAATGTATATTATAATTATTTTTAATTAAAAAACATATACCAAATATTTTATTCTATAAATATATTTTTAAATTAAGGTTCCTTATGGTTTGGTTGTTGCTGTTGATATGAAATGATTTCGTCAATTCTTGGTGTAATTGACTTTGTTAAGCTAATTCTCATAGCTGATGAAATGTCCAGTCGATTTCTGTTTTAATATAAAATTATATGTACTCGTATTATGTAATATTGAAATATTTATTATTTTTATTTTTTCATTTTTTCATTTCTGTATTTTACTATTGGAACTTTTTAATTTTTTTATTGATTTAAATTTTAAATCATACACGATCCTAAATAATAAGTTGGTGACTCTTAAAGGGGTCGCGACCCCCAGATTGAGAAACACTGTTCTAGACGACGCTCGCGTCAGAAATAAACCGATTACGTGTATGTATTTTGTACACACGTTTAGGGTAACCCGTTTTTCTTGATTTATTTATATATATATTATATGTGTTTATGTCGTTATTATTATCATTATCGGATAACGTGCGTAATTTATTATTCCTTCGTCCACACATGGCCGTACATATATTATATATTTATTTATATGTATGTATAGGTGTAGAACCTTTTTCTTCTTCTTCGATAACTCGTAGTTTTATAATTTATTCGTGTCCTGTTATAAAATGCATTTTCGATGTGTATGGACTTTTTTTTTTAAAATATCAAACCAAATATCATTCTTGCGAGTTATTCTGAAATCCGACCCCCACACAGGATAGGAAGGGTTTGAATAAATAAGTCCGGAATCAACATAAAGTCATTTTATACCCACGAACGACCCAAGAAAAAAACAAGGATTAGACACACAATGCGTTGTATAAATGTATTATATAGACACACATCGGCCCAAACGACTTTAGACTCGACGAAGATGACTACACTTACCTATGTACATAGCCTTATGTAATTTAATGAATTATTGCGGGTGTATTTCTTTTTTGTCATTAATTCATTTCGCTATTATTTGACAACGATTTTTCTACCGTATTTCTTACGTGTATATTCGTATAGTATACTGTGAGATGTGTTTATTTATCGTAGGTACCTATACGTATGCTAATCGACCATGGTACGTACACATCGTTGTCACAAATTTATACACATTACAACATATTATATCTACATTTTAATCGGAATACATTTATCTCAAAACTTATACAATTTTACACACATGTACGATATTATAATAAAATATATTTTCGTTTATCTTCGTCCATTGAAATATAACATACTAACATTTTACGTCAAGGGTATTATTTATTAGTTTTTTTATAATATATTTTATTACTTTTATATTATATTTATAAATGTACACTTATTCTAATAATATGCATGTTATACATCCTAAACTTTGATTCTAATTCATTGCAGTCTATTTTGTTCAATGGTTGTTGTGTGTATATAAATATGGTTATTCGTGGGGTATGTTTTATTATATTAGCATTTATAACATCAGTATAATGATTTAAAGATTTCTCACAAAGTTATATTTTAATTTATGTTCAACATTTTTGAAATAATAATGAAAAAAACACGACAACTACAGATTTTGCTTCATTCAAAATTGGGGAGTAAATCGACATAATTCATATGTGTTCACAACCAAAAATAAAAAATTAAACTAGAATATACACCCTACGAAAAATAAACGTTTTTAGTTGCTGAAATTGAATTAAGTAACTGAATTAGACCCGGCTTCGTCTAGGAAAAATTACAACCATCGTTTCCTTTTTCATTTTAACTCATGCTCAGGACTGACAGCAAGTTTCTCTCACTGGCATGATTAAAAACTTTATAGCTTTTTATTTTGTTGTCCAGCGGTGGTGTGTAGATGAATGTGTTTTTTTTGCCGCTCTGCGCAGTAGGAAATTGAAAAAATAAGAATTATAAATAAATAATTACTCAATTAACTTAAAGACTAAAAATTAAATTTAAAACCTGCTCCGCAATACAATTTTTATTTAAATTATTATTTGATCAGTAGTTACAGAGAACATATGTGCCAATGATTTCATTTTCACTTTTATTTCCATAGGACACAATAAGAATTTATGATAACAAAATTAGTAAGATACAGCGTGTTGAGAGAAGCCATTCAGTAGTATCACTACTTATTATTTAATTTTCTATTTTTTATTTTTTTATAATATTTTTGCATGTTTAATAAAATATAAAAACCTAAGTTTTCAGCATAGTCATAGATATATGATAAACATTTTAAATATAGAAAAATACCTAAATTAACGTACAAGGTTGTCTAATTTTTGGATGGTTTGAGCTCTTTTCAGAATCATTGAAATATTGTTCATAATCTTGTTTAAACTTTTTAAAGTTGCACATCATAGTATATATTTTTTTTAAATTGTTTTTATCCAAAATATACAGCTTGAAAATTATGTTTTTTGTGAAAATACAATTCTTAAAATTTGTGTTGCTTTATACTGCGTGTAATATTTTACAATAAATTTAAATAAATTACAATTATTTACATGTGGAAACTTTTGTTGAGAATGAAATTAATGATGAGTGAGATGACGGAAGGAGAACGAAAATTAAGAAAAAGGATTACATTAGGGAAAGAGTAGAAGAGTAAGAGCAGGATATGAGAAAAACATATGATGTAAGTCAGACATGGCTTCGTGGGTGCAGAGAGTGCAAAGGGGAGAAGAATTAAGAGAAAAGAGAAATTAATTATTAGGAAGAAGATAATGACTAAATTGGAGTCGAGAAAAAGAGATAATTATGGATCATTAGAGAAGGTACAGATCCCGGAACCAAGAGAAGTTAGAAATCAATAAGAAGAAGGATCTTTGTCAGAAGGCAAAGTAAGGTGGAATCTATATCTTTTTTTTTATATATATGTATATGTATAATTACTAGTATTTCCTTATTCTATTTTGAATATTATACGCATTAATTACATACCGATTGTTTGCATGGCATTGAATGCATATTTATCAAAATGTTATCTTTAAAATTTAAATATTTGTATTTAAAACATTCATAAAACTTAAAAATGGGTAATTGAAAACGAGACTGAAAAAAAATAACGCGTAGATATGAACAGTGTCGCATTTAGGGGGAGGGGGCTCTGGCTACAACTGCCCCAAACACCAATTTTTTGGGGGCGCCAACATTTTGTAGTTGGAAATTTGCTCACTTGTGAATTATTGAACTTTTAAAATTA